GTATGAGATTGGTGATCATCTACTTATATATGTATGAGATCGGCAATCATCTACTTATATATATACCAGATTGGCAATCATCTACTTATATATGTATGAGATTGGCAATTATCTACTTATACATATACCAGATTGGCAATCATCTGCTTATATATATATATGAGATTGGCGATCATCTACTTATATATATACCAGATTGGCAATCATCTGCTTATATATATATATGAGATCGGCAATCATCTGCTTATATATGTATGAGATTGGCGATCATCTACTTATATATGTATGAGATTGGCGATTATCCACTTATATATATACCAGATCGGCAATCATCTGCTTATATATATATATGAGATTGGCGATCATCTACTTATATATGTATGAGATTGGTGATCATCTACTTATATATGTATGAGATTGGCGATTATCTACTTATATATATACCAGATCGGCAATCATCTGCTTATATATATATATGAGATTGGCGATCATCTGCTTATATATATACCAGATTGGCAATCATCTGCTTATATATATATATGAGATCGGCAATCATCTGCTTATATATGTATGAGATTGGCGATCATCTACTTATATATGTATGAGATTGGCGATTATCTACTTATATATATACCAGATCGGCAATCATCTGCTTATATATATATATGAGATTGGCAATCATCTGCTTATATATGTATGAGATCGGCAATCATCTACTTATATATATACCAGATTGGCAATCATCTGCTTATATATATATATGAGATCGGCAATCATCTGCTTATATATATACCAGATTGGCAATTATATACTTATATATATATGAGATCAGTGATCATTGACTTATATATATACCAGATTGATAATTATTAGCTTATATATATATGAAATCGGTTGTCATCCACTTATATATGTATGAGATTGACTAATATTTACTTATATATATATCAGATCAGCTGTTATCAGCTTACGTAATCTTGCATAATCTTGCATAATCTTGCATAATCTTGCATAGTTGTATAGAAACACCTATAAAAAATATAACAAAAGAAAGTTTGTGTAACATATGTCATTATGCATATTTGCGTAACATAAATAATACAAATGCATTACTAAAAAAAGTTGGCAACTTTTGGCTATACTTGTTATATAACGTGCATAATCATGCATAATCTCGCATAAATGATCTACGTAAACAATACAGCTGAATTCGTGGAAAAAAATGCTAAAGAATAGCTTTTTTCTGGAAAAATTTCCTTTTTTGGTTAGTCTGAATATAATTAGCGTGAGAAGTCTTGGCATTTTTAGTGTGGGAAGATAGGTTATATAAATAGTAACTATGTAAAAGCTTGGCATGGAAAAACATTTAATCCTAAACTATCAAAAAGCCGTTCCGACAATAATTAAATATATCTCTTCTAATGAAAGTTCAAATTCTTACTAAGTAATAAATTTTAATTTTTTTTTGCTATATAAAGAAAATTTAGTAGTATAATATAAAAGTATCAAAATATGTATAGAGCAAATACAGAATTAATAAAAATTAATTTTCATATTTTTTTACTAATTTTCTTATAAAAATCAAAATATTATTATGTAGATCAATAAAAAAATATATAAATAAGTCAACTTATTAATATTAATTATAATTTTGATGTATTTATATATTATATATATATATATAAAGATTATAAAAGAGTTGTAAATATATATAAAATTAAAGATTAAATATGATTAGAGTATGTAACTTATATTTGACGAGATGATCGGATATGACTTGGATATTGACAAGTGTGAATATATATAATGTGATAGATCCAATGGTATTGACTAATATCAGAGATAGATAAGATGTTATAGACTAATATTAGTAATAAATCAAATGTTATTGGCTAATATTGATTATATATTACATTTTATTAACTTATATAAGTAGTAAATTGGATGTGATAAATATATATATATAATACAGATTGACTGTTATTGATTTACATATATATCAGATCAGATATCATTTATTTATATATATACTAGATTGGTAGTATTCAGCTAATATATATATGAGATTGATTGTTATCCACTTATATATATATCAGATTGGCTGTGATCTATTTATATATATATCAGACTGGATATTATATATTTATATATAGTGCAAATCACCTGTCATCAGCTTATATATATATGCAATTGGCGGACAACAGCTTATATATATATCAGATTGGATATCATATGTTCATATATAGTGTACATCCTCTGTCATCAGCTTATATATATACTCAATTGGTGGTCAACAGCTTATATATATACTAGATTGGTGGTAAACAGCTTATATATATACCAGATTGGCTGTGATCCACTTATATATATATCAGATTGGATATCATATATTTATATATAGTGCAGATCACCTGTCATCAGATTATATATATACCCAATTAGCGGACAACAGCTTATATATATATCAGATCGACTATCATCAGCTTATATATATCAGATTGAGTATCATATATTTATATATAGTGTGGATAACCTGTTATCAGCTTATATATATACCCAATTGGCGGTCAACAGCTTATATATATATCAGATCAACTATTATCAGCTTATATATATATCTGATTGGTGGTTAACAACTTATATATATATCAGATTAACTGTTATCCACTTATACATATATAAAATTGACTGTTATCTATTTGTATATATATGAGATTAACTGTAATTAGATTATATATATATCAGATTGACTATCATCTACTTATATATATGTATGAGATCGGCGATTATCCACTTATATATATACCAGATCGGCAATCATCTGCTTATATATATATATGAGATTGGCGATCATCTACTTATATATGTATGAGATTGGCGATCATCTACTTATATATGTATGAGATTGGCGATTATCTACTTATATATATACCAGATTGGCAATCATCTGCTTATATATATATACCAGATTGGCAATCATCTGCTTATATATATATATGAGATTGGCGATCATTGACTTATATATATATCAGATCGGTGATCATTGACTTATATATATATCAGATTGATAATTATTAGCCACTGCAAAAGGACGGCCAATTCAGTATATTAAATCTTGACTAAATACTGTCTGAATGAATAAAATTCAGCATGAATTCGATCGGAATTTATGATGCCAATTTTTTAAAATTCGTGAACTAAATGAATACAATTAGTATACTTAATTTTAGGAACACAAAAAGAAAAAGTGTAATATACTTTTATGTGATATATTTTGGTTGTGAAAATATAGACGCACTTTTGTCAGACCACAGATTTTTTATTTTATATTGGTTTTGGGTTTTTTTTTAAATACAGTGCATAACATTCAACATCTTTTTATTACTATATATGGGTTGTTAAAGAAGAGATTTGGTCAAGATTAGGTCAAGATTTAGTCAAGATTTAGAGGTTTATGGGTCATTTTAAAGGTTTTTATTGGTTTGAAAAAAAAATTTTATTGTTTCTAGCTATTTCTATTTGTCTACATCACTAATCGTCTCCTGCTGCAATTGGATAGAAACATCACACTCATGATGCCATCATTTATTTTAGTAGATATTGTATTATTTCTTTTGTATATCTATTGGTCCACCCCTGGTGCAATTGACCCCTACTGTATTCTGTTGCTTGCTGTGTCATGCTTTTTTGGCCTGTTTGTTTACTTTTATAAAAAATAATTATAGGGTAGATTAGAAAGAATGGTCTAGGTATATTTATTTGAGAGCAACAGATTATTTAAAAAATATGAATATAATTACAATAAAGTTAAACACGAGAACAGATGGATGTCTTTAACACAAAGATAGGTATATCAACGTTTTAGTTAAATGTCTCAATTATAGTAATATTGTCTATAAAAAATAATAACTTTTGTTAATGCAATGCAAAGTAAATAAGACTTTGATTTGCTTACCAGACAGTTCAGAAAACAGAAGAGGTGGCAAGCAGAAAATACAATGACATTGTCTATAAAATATAATCTTTTATTAGAATAAAATAAAGAGTATCAGACAATTTTTTGCTTACCAATTATTCAATACAGTAGAAGAGGCGGCATGCAGGAAATGGAAATATTATCTATAAAATAATTTCTTTTCATTAGAATTACATACAAAGAAATAGAATGATTATTTACTTACTTGTCTGCTGGTAGAGAATAAAAGTCGGTATATAATCAAAAAAGAGGACCGAGATAAAGACCAGTGACTATAGAGTGTATGATATACATAAGAAAAATAATAAATACAAGTTGTATCTGGAAGGTGTACGTTAATATTTATATAACATACTATTTTGTAAACTCTCCCGAGATATATGTTTTTGTTAACAGGCCAGAAAAATCTGAACAGAATAATTAATATATAAATCGTCAATAAATATTCAGTATATTTTTATTACTTTTTTATTGTTATTTTTGAGGCAGTTAAAAAGGACTTGGTGTTTTAAAGCATAGAGTATTATGCTAGAATAAATACAACAAGATGATTAGGTCTTGAAACTTTGATGTGAGTTGATGCTTACTATGTTAGACATTAAGAAAGAAGTAAAGAAGAAGAAGGAAAAAATTCCAAAAAAAATGGGAGAAATTCAAAATTATAATTTTATGACCGTTGACCCTGAGAAACTGATAGAATCAATTGAACAAATTGAAAGTCATTCAACCCATCCCAATTGAGACAAGACATTACATACTAAATCATAATCTCTCACATCTTTATAATGAATGTAAGCTATTACAAATGTCTTTCCAAGTCGGCTTATAAAGAAAAGTATAATATAGAGATCAGAATGCTATAAAGAGCATCATCAGAAAAATAATCTTTTGGTGTCTTACTTTCCATCTTTACATATGTTTTGATTTATTTTATTTATTTTATTATTTTAAAGAAACCCAACTCTAATTATTAAAGTATTCACATTGTTTCAATTTCTTTCTTTAGCCTTAAATATCTCAATTCATGTCTTCTAATACGCAGCAAACCAAAAAAACGAAAAAGACAACTACAAAAAAGTCTGTTCAACAAACTGCTGGGACAGCAGCAAGCACAAGACAACAGGAAATTCTTCCCAGCTTGACAGTTAGTGCAGAGCTAGATGGTACTGTCCTGTCCACTTTGTCCACCATGAGCACCCAGCTGAATGAATCTCATTCACTTCTGGAGAAGGTCTACCACAACATGGAAGCAACCAATGGCCAGAATAACAATCCAAACCATAGTCCCATTGGTCAGGCTCTTACTACAGGAGAATATATAAAGTATTGCCTTCCAATGGTTTCGGTAGGATATATACTAGTAATAGAATATTGCAAAGTTGCTTACATTATATTTTGCAGATATTGATCCATTCTCAAACACGAGCAGTTCTGGCAACAATGCCATTAACAGTCATTGAGGGCGCCTTCTTAACATCCAACCGTCCCATTGCTGATGTAGTGCAGAGCTACACACATCAGCAAGCTGAAGTAAAGTCTGTTTTGTCTGCAGTTGTGGAAGAGAAAACCCGAAGACATATTTCATATATGCTTCAAAGGGCAAAAGCTTTGCCAGAAAAGATAGCTCAACAAAATTGGATTTCTCAATGCCAGTCCAGAAAGAGAAATGTAAGTATAGTCAACAGTTTTTGTGTAAACTATTTTAATTTTTTTTCAGATTCTTGCAGACTACAAGGCAATTCACTTAGCTAACAAGAAAAACCTTGAGTCTAAGTTTGGTGAGACTGTCGTTGACCTTCTGGACTATGACACTGCTGTCTGATATTGAGTCAGATGAGGAGAAAAATAAAACTAGATATACTCTTAGAAATAGACATCCCTTGGTAAGGCCCTCATGATAAAAGTTATTTTTTTTATACTTCTAACTCAAAAGTATTTATATTATAATGCAGGTGGATGAATACTTTACTGTTTTGAAGAAACAGAGACTTGCTAACAAGGGACCAGGCGTCATTGGCAATTCTGTCTATCCAATTATTTTGAGAAACACTGAGTTATCGAATGAAAAAAAGGCATGTGTTGCTGCTTGGATTCACACACACCAATAATAAATCATTATTTTATTTACAAAGTGCATATAGTACTTTAATGATTTTTATTGATTGTGTTGAATGATGTGGGGTGAAGTAGTAAAATATAATCAGGCAGTATTGTCAAGATGAGAAACAATTAATATATAAATAAAATGAAAAAGAAAAATACAAAATCAAAAATCAAAAATCAAAATAATAAATTATTATTTTATTTTAGAGCCAATTAATAAAAAAATATATATACAAGGCAATTATTTAATTATATAACCCTGATTGTTTTATCCTTGTTTTTTTATTGGAAATTATAATATTAATATTAGCAAGAATATGTAATAAAGGCTAAGAAAATAGTAAATGTTGGGTATTAAATACACAAGTATTTTGTCTTTTATATTATTAATAAAAGCAAGAGAAATAAATAATAGTTTTTACTATTCGTTAATAGTTAAAAAAACTGGTAATATAATTTACTATTGCTCTTTTAAATACTTAATAAAGAAGTAATAGTAAAACTTAATAAAAATAAAGAGATAAATAAGGATAAATCTTTTTACAGTAAAAAAACTCGTATTATAATTATTTATATTTATATTAAATAGACTGTATTTTTTTATTTATTTTTATGTGACTACTTTTCTAGGCAGTGGAATGACAAGGCGTTTTTGCATCTCACTTTGCATTTTATAAGTAGCCAACGCAAAGCATGAATGTAGACGATGCACTGAAACAATGCATGAAGAACTCTCTTCCATGTACCCCTTCTCCCACAACTCTAGGCCTTGTTCAACTAACAGCTGGTGATGACTGGACTGGTAGGCGGGAAACTATTTGATGAATGCGAATGTTGACACTCTTTTGACTCCACTGATCTTGATGGTATAAGTAAATAAATACTCTATTTGACCAGAGAATTCAGATACATTGTCATTTGTTCTCTCAAGACACAAAACCCTTACAAAAGACCCGTGCTTCTTCTTTTCACCACTGCAGTACTCTTGCCCCAGCAACGAAATCTTTTTCACCTTTTGAATCCAATTGTTCACAAACACATCCTCACCAATCGGGATTCTCCCTACCACATAGAAGGAAACACTTGTACTCTGGTAAGTCTTGACATCGAATTCAAATAACCACTGATAGTGAGCATTCTTCATCATAATCAAAGGCTGTAGTTTGATTGACAAAGTGGTTGGGGGCAAGGCCTCACTTCTGGTGACATTGTATCATGGATTTGTGGCAGCTTGCAGAAATATTGGGAGGTTGAATGCCAGTACAGGTGGATGACCATTCTCCAGGCAAGGGAGGGGCAAGAGAGCAGATACCAACATAACTTGAGCAACACTCTCGAGAAACTGTATCATTGGCAGCAAAAGGTTGGTAGAATATGCATGTAGGAAAGTGCTGATAAATGCCTTTTCTAGGAATACTCTCATAAATGTAACCTCAAGACCATTTCTGCAGTTCATCTTTATGTTCTTCAACTTGCCATTGTATCTCTCAAAGCTACATAACCAGAATGCATACACTGGACCAAAGTCAAGCATCGACTCATGCAAGTGCATATGCAAATGCATATTTGGCGTGATGCTACTCTTTCCATAAAGAATCTTGCATTCTTTTTCAAATTCTCCAAGGAGCTGGTGTGCACTGTCAATTTCTGAATATGTGACTGAAGGACCGGTCAACTTTCAGCATGCTTTTACAAAGAGAGTCCAGTTTTTTTAGTCGTCTTCAGGCAAAGCATCTTTTAGTACCACCAACAAATAAATCAGACACCACGATCACAACTCGTCTGCCTTCATATACGGGAAACCAGATTCAATCTTTGTTGATAAAATGGCATACCCAGGAGGAACAAGAATATCATCAGCAAGACGTTGCATACGGACAAGAACAGCAGTTGGGAGATACCTCAGGTCTTTCCAAGCACTGATCATATGCTTTGCTGTCCCAAGAAACAAATTGTGCATGGGATTAAAAATCGTGTATTGGATGGGATCAAAGTAGTGTAGGCGATGCAACTTGGAAAAATGGGTGTCATGCTGCTTCTCCAAAACAGCTCTCTCTGCATCAGATTCTGCACAGAATCACATCTCAGCTTCGGTTGCATTTTCCTCTTTTGTTTGGGAGACCCAGTTCTCATGATCGAATCCAGAATAATTGATCTTACTTGTTCCAGCAACAACAATGAAATGATGCTTGCATATGTGACAGGCGTTTGTACTTGCAAATCCTGTAAATCCAGCAGTCTTTCTTGCAGCAGGTATGTTGCAAGCAACACACATAAGAGCAGCGCGGATACTAGTACCATTGGGGAACTCTGGAGTTTTCATAGTTATGCCGCCGTATAACTCTACCAGCTCGTCTACCAGAGGTTCCAAGAAGTTGTTCATCTGGTTGATCTTCGCTTCCTTTGGACCAGGCATGACACCGACAAGGATAATGTTTTCTGGCTTCATTCTTTCTTCCCTAGGCAGGTTGTTCATTGACAGGTACAAGGCCCCACTTGCATGTGTACGACCCTCAAATGGTTGAAACCAATCCACATTCAATGTTAACATCAAAGAATGGTTGTGATTCACAAAAGGCTCGTCATCTTCATCAAGGAGCTCAGACCACATTGCACCATCATAGACGTCCAACAAGGTACTGTTTACGGTTTTCCTCGATCTCCATTGAACGATTTGATGCTCGAACCCAGGTTTGGCGAAATGCTGTGCCAATGCATTCTTGAGCGAGTTGTATGGGAAAACCATGAGAGGGACAGCGCGATCAGCTTTGGTGTCAGAGAAAAGAGAATTTCCGCAGTATGTTGGTGGTGTGGTTGTGTATTTTTCGAATGTGCAATTTGGTTGGCAATTGCCTGGTAGGTAAATTGCAAAACACTTATTGCAGATGGTGTATTTGACAATGCTTTTTGTCATAAAATTGAATCCAGTCATAGTCTTTAACACATCAACAGTGAGCGGGAGATCAGTATTCTTCTCAAAGGCAACAAGAAGGTGGTAAAAGAATTTTAGCATAGCAGTTCCACCTGCTTGGACCAAGTAAAATGCCTGAAAGATAACGCCAAATAGAGTCATGAATTGGCTTATTTGAGACATTTAATGAATTTTCAAAGAAGCAACTACAAAGGCAAGTATTTCTGTTAATTATTTGTAATACAATTTATGTATATTTCTTTTTTAAATGTATGCATACCGGAAGCAACCATGTCTTCAAAATTTTTAACACTGACAACCTCGACTTTGCTCTCATTTTCAGACTCATCGCTTGAATCAGGATCGTCATTGTCAGAAGCCAATGATGTTGTCTCAACATCAGACTCTTCAAATTGAAAAATCTCGTCTTCTCTCAAAAAAGATATACTCTGTACGGTAGTTTCGGCTGATACAATAGAATAATTGTCTTCATCTATAGTAAAACCAGACTATTAGCTATCTAAATTATGATTTATTAAAAAGAAATTTTATACTCACAATCAATCGATGTTTCAGATACATCTACCATCTCAACGTCTGTCTCTTCTTCGACAACTTCTGTATTAACTGATAATTAACAAAAAAAATATTAGATTACAATTTATCCAGTAATGCGCGTACTACTCAAATGTCATTTACCTCGATTTTTTGGGCCAATGTCTAATAACTTATCAGCATTATTATGACGCTTAAAGGTCTGTGCATTTTGCAAAATTCCACCAATTGCATTATTGGTACATGATGAACATGTACACATAACAGTGTAGGTTTTAGTTGTAGAATTCATAACAGTAAGAATAATATTAATAATAATAAAATAATAAAGAGGTGTATACTATATTTTGTTTTTATCTTTTATATGCCTTTTATTTTTGTCATTAATAATGAGTTGTATATCTTGTTCACTATGTCATTGACTGCATTGAGCTTATCATCCCTATTAGTAAGAATTACAAATGAATTTTGATACAGTGATCTTTTCTTAAAAAAAGTATGGCTGATTATTAATGGGGCTTCAATTTAATAATCACTAATATAATGGCGTAGTTTTTCTCTTTTGTGTTTTTTTAACATGACATCAATTCTCGCTCATTTTGGCAAGTGGCCTTTTTTGGATTTTCTTTTTCTTGTATTTTTTTATGACATCAATTCTTGCTCTTTTTTTCAATTTTTTTTGATATACTTTCTTATTAAAAATAAGTCATATATCATACATTATTATATTCTAATAAAATTTGGTATTTTTTGCGATGCAATAAAAATATTATTGAATCTAAATTAGGTGCATCTGTAACAACAAGTTTTTTTTTCAGAAAAATAATTAAATACTACATTTAACATTTAATATTTTATTTTTATTTTTTATTTTTCTGCCAAGTTAATTGAAACATATATTTTTTAAGACAATTGTGCAATTTATTGCCTAATTAATAAATATTTGTGTTTGTATCTGTGTTTATTTAATATAATCAAAAAGAATTGCTAATTCACATCTCAAGAAAAAAAATATTGAAAAACGATGGTGTTTGAAATATTTTTTCAAATTTTTCCAAAATTCAAAAAATAAAATTTGACTGAATCCACCCTCCTTTTGCAGTGTTACAAAATACAAAAAAAAGAATATAATAAGAATAGAAAAAATAGGTAATTTGATAGATAAGAATTAGTGCCAGACAGGTAAGAAAAATAGGAAGAAGATAAAAAGAAAATTGTGACAACAACAAAGTTTGAGAAATACAGAAAAGAGAAAACGGAGAAATGAAATGTATTAAGATTGACAGACAACACTCTAAAGAACAAAAACACCATGTATGAATGAAAAATAATGATAATAACAGACAAAAATAAATAAGATCAAAGATAGAATGATGATTTTATTGATTGAAAAGGTTGTTTCTTTTATAAACAAAATGTTTGGTTAAAATAATTTGTTAATAAAAAGAAAAGAAAGTCCAGTGAAAAATTTTACTACATGTAACTGGTATTGATAGTAGAAGTAGAATAGAAAAATATAAAGAAGATAAAATAAAAGTATAGTAAAAATATAGTAATTTAATAAAGATAAAGTAAAAATATAGTGAGATAAAATAGAAGTAACGTAATAATATAATAATGATGTAGTGAAGTAAAGTAAAAAATATAATAATAGTATAATAATGAAATCTAATAAAAATGTAATAAAAAATATTGTATATAAATATTAGCAATAGAGAAGTGTATAAAATTAAAGGAAAGAAGTTTAATTTTTAGTGGGTGACAGACATTTCTGAGGTGACAATGTAGGTAGACATATTAATTATTTAAGAGACAAAATAAAATTAGGGGTATTGAGAATAAGATCTCCCAAGAAATCTGAGGGACCACTCCTGTCCCTCGAGACATGTCACTTGGTCAACTTACCATCAACATCAATGTCCACAAGTCTGGTACCACCTGTCACGGCTCACTGCAGGACCAAACCATTGAAAGAACCCACCGTCCAGTGTCTATTACCAGAAACTGGCCAAAGCCGCATTCGCCCATAACATACGTGATAATGGTGACACGTGATGTGTTAGATTTGTTGTAGATTGTAACAGATTATTTGGCAAATAAAATACAATGATAATAGAATAGAACAGAAGACAGATACAGTAAAAAGCGACAAGCAGCAATAGTTGAAAGATAAGAAAAGAAAGAACAACTGATACAATTTTTGTTAAAAGTGAGAGAGAGAAGATGTATGAAAAAAGAATGATGAAACAGAAAAGTAATAACCAATGAGGAGACCAAATCCAACAAACAACCTTCCTAAAATCAAGAAACCAATATTTTATGTTGCAAAATAGTATAGACCACAAAGGGAAGAAAACAAGAAAAAGATACTGAATTGGATCAAAGAATAATTTTATTGACTTGAATTTACTTCTCTTTTTATAGTCAACAAGATTTAAAGTTGATAATAGAAGTTTGAAAAAATAAAGATAGTAAAAATAGAATGATGAATAATTGATATGACAAAGATAAAATATGTGAATAAAGATATAGTAAAAATATAATAATAAATATACTGATGTTATGCAGAGATGTCAGCAAGATGAATTATGTATATTGTAGAAGAGAAATACTACTAGCATGGGGGACCATGATTTCAAATGAGTACAATGTAGACAAATATATTAGCAAGAGAAAAGAAAAAAGTATTGTGTGTAGAAGGAACAGGGAATGGAAACGAGATTATTCCTGTGCATGGAAAAATTCTCCTCTTACCACCAAGGGCACAGCACTATATTAACAAACCGTTGACATCAGCCTCTCATAACCGGGACAACACGTCACAACAAACTGCCAGACAAATCTACTGAGCAGACTGACCTTCTGGTATCAGACACTACAACATGACCAAAAGCTGAATTTGCTTATAACACATATGACATCAGTGATACATATGGTGTTTGTATTTGTGGTAAATGTTGACAGGTGATGTTATCATGGTTTTCGAGGTTTGAATGGGTTTATAGATACGAAACAACTTCTTTTTTCTACAAGAGAAAAAAGACAAACTCAAAAGAGAATGTAGAATTAAAAATAATAAAATTAATAAGAGAAAAATAAAAGAAAAATAGTACAAATGATCAATCTCAATAGACTTGACTCAATATACTTAGATAATCAAACAAGTAAAATATCAACAGGGTTAAATATTAAGAGAACTTGTTGTCAGAAAATAAAACAAAGCAAAATCAATGTTTTTTAAATGCAAGTATTGCAATATTTATAGTTTTGCAATTTACTTGTTAAATAATTAAATAAATAAAATTATAAAAAAAAAAAAAAAACTTGTACAATCGATGATCTATTAAATGTGATTTGTTCTTTACTATCATTAAGTACAAATAAAATAAAATAATTATTAAGTCATAATCATTAAGATAATTACGCTTGTGAAAATATATAATAAAAATAATAATAATTCCAAGTTGATTTGTTCAGTTAAATTTAGTGAGAAAATATGATACGATGTGTGATTACGTGAAGTTATTATTAACAGGCTGATGCTTTTTTGTTGTACTTATTGATGTTCTGCTCTAGAAATAGAAAAATAGCTTTCTATTCAGTCTGGGCTGCCATCGGAAAATCAAAAAATAATAATAGAATATAATTTTTTCTAGAATTATAAAGAATTCTGCAACGTCACTGCACTGCCGGACAACCGAAATTGTGTTAACAGACAAAAATGTTAACAACACATAGTGTTAACAGTATGTGGTTGTGTGGTGTAATGGTTATCACGGTAGACTTTGAATCTACCAATCCGAGTTCGATCCTCGGCACGACCTTTTCATCAAAAAATTAAATTCAAACTTTTGTCAGATGTTGTTCCCAATCTGGGTTGGTCTTTCTTTTACTATAATAATGTCAGAGTTGACATCGGTCACCAAAATCGGGATTTACAAGCAACCAGTAATGGTTGACTTTTTAGGATAAAGGATCTTGACTTTGCCGATTGGTCTTTCATATATGTTTTAGATATTTAAAATAGTGACTATACTTGTAGAAGATATTAGTGGACAACAAGCACCTAAGACATATTATCGTAGCTATTCTTTTAGCCAGAAATCAATTATCATTTTGTATAAATAGTCAAGAAATACATTTAATAAAAAGGCATCTTTATTCTTATCTAAAAACTATTCTTAAAAACTTAACGATCCCCAGTGGTATTGATTCTGCAACTTAGTTACAAGTGCCAGAAAAGAAATACCAGATTGAGACTTGACAATTGGTAGCTGAATAAACTGTTTTGCTGACCAGAACAGCGTCCAGTTTACTGACACCCAGAAGAAAAAATTTGAAATCAAAAAACGAGTTCAGGCCTTGCTTCCCGCTGAACTTGCTAGTTCTTTTGCTGCTTCCCATACTGTGCCTTCACTTCCTGAAGAACAGCATCTCCATTCCTCTTCTTTCCGTATAGCTTTTTGGGACACCCAAGCCCAAAACATGGTTGCCAAACTATCTGGTGTACCTGTTTCTACACCTCCTTCTCCCGACTCTCTGGTCCACATACCTGTTCCCAGCTCTTTGCCCATGAGTACTCCTCCTGCTCCAGTCAACCTTGCTGCTCCTGCTGCCCTGGCTGCCATGACCATGCCCAAGTTAATTGCGGCTTTTACTGCTGCTCTCTGTAGCTCTCAGCTACCTGCTGCTTATACTGCCCTGAACCCTGTTCCTGCTCCAGTATCTTTGCCTCCCTTGGTACAGATAGAACGGCCAGATTTTTATCATGGGGCCTGCTCTGCCAATGCAATCGATGGTTGGGTTTGTTCTGTAGAACGTTTTGCTGAGCTCCACCGCATGGATTATGACAGCTGGACATCATATGCCATAACTTTGCTTCGTGATGGTGCTGACGTCTGGTGGCATCGTCTGGAAGATAATGGTACCAGAACCTCGGACTGACAAACTTTTACTTGTTTGCTCAATGACAATTTCTGTCCTGTTCACTCTGTTCAAAATGCACAAGATCGCATTTGCTCTCTGCACCAGACTGGTTCTGTTGAATCATATATTGACACTTTTCAAGATCTACGTATGGATATTCCATCCATGACTGAGGACGAGGCTCTAGAGAGATTTGTTAGTGGTTTGCGTCCTTAAACTTGCAGCCAAGTCCGCTTCTGGGAACTCTTGGACCTTGCCGAAGCCGCCCGCACTGCTCTAGCTTTTGAGAATAGCCACTGCCCTGTCCCCACTTTCCGCCCAGAGGTTGTTCTGCAGTATGTTTGCAATAATGGTCCCACCCCTATGGACCTTGACGCTATGGAGTGGAGAGGGTTGATGCGGACCAACTACCAGGGATGCTCAGGCCAGCGCAGTAACCAAAGCTCTGCCAGCCGTTCCAACGTGAGACCACACCAACAAGGAGGTAGAGATAACCGCAAGTGTTTCTGGTGTGGCCAGATTGGACACCTTCGCCATTTCTGTTCAGAATGTACTGCTGCCATCTGCCAGTTAGACGAAGGATGAGCCAAGGCACAAGGCCACAAGGAATTCTCATTCCATACAACTGAGCTAAAGGGGAATCAGTTGTGTGAGAACGAAGACCCCGCCCTAACAGGGATGTAAAAGATTACAATAGTGTTAATTATGAAGAATATGATAATTGTTGTGGTGGTTGAAGTTGAAGAAGTTTTTAAGAGGAAGAATTGAAGATTTGAAATTAGGAACGAAGATTCGTGAGAACTTGTGTAGGTTTTGTTTATTGAGAAAGATTTTGTATCAAAGTTTGACCAGGTTCCTACACTGAACTACTACTGCTATTTATATTGTTTTGGATTGGGAAAATTATATGACTGGGGTCAGGTAATCGATCCTATCTGAGCCTTAATCAGAGCAACGTGATCTTGGGATAATTAATGTATGATTAATTATATAAATGTGTGTAGTCCCAATGAAGTATTAACATCGAAAGTAAATGTGTTTATGAGTTATAATTATGCTTATAATAATCCACTGATGTATCCCATATTATGGTGATATCATCATATGAAATATAATCACTATCATGCATGCTAAACCTGTGTGTTAAATAATAAAGTAATCGGTAGACACCTTTGACTGGAATAGCTGAGGCCTTATATTATTTCCTTCAGACTTATTCTCAATTACAGCAGTAGTCAATACTCATTTACAACACAGGGGTCCAAACAAAAAAAGGCCCCTAAAGCGACCCCAATAATGACTCTAATAGTGACCCTTTTTCTTGTTGTAGTATATACTTAAAGAAGTACAATCAAACAGACAAAATAATATAGTAGATAAAAGATAATTTTATTATGAACAATTGCTATTGATATTTATACTAATTATTTGGAATATTTGTCTTAAGGTCTTATTTGATATGATGCCTCATCTGTAAGAATGTTAATTGAATTATTGTTTCTGCTATATGAGAATGTGAGTAAAGGTCAAAGTAATTAATTACAAAAAGAGGTTCATTTGCCCTTTCCTCTTTTTGGAACAATTGGTTTGAACCTCCTCTTTTGTTTAAGCTCCAGCTTACCAGCTACAACATACTGTCATGTGTGTTGTGGGCAAGTCCGGCTTTTGGCCATATCGTGGTATCCAGTACCAGAAGGTCAGTCTGCTTGGTAGGTTTGTTTGGCAGTTTGTCATGACGTCTTGTCCCAGTTATGAGAGGCTGATGTCAATGGTTTGTTGATGTGGTACTGTGCCCTCGGTGGTAAGAGAAGAATTTTTTTGTGCACAGGAAAAATCTTGTTTCTGTTCCCTGTTCCTTCTACACACAATACTTTTTCCTTTTCCCTTGTTAACATATTTGTCTACATTGTACTCATTCAAAATCATGGTTCCCCATGCTAGTAAAATTCCTCTTCTACAATGCACATAATTCATCTTGCTGACATCTCCACGTAACATCAGTACCTTTATTATTATATTTCTACCATATTTTTATTCATATATTTTATCCTTGTTATATTGATTATTCATCATTCTATTTTTACTATCTTTATTTTTCCGAACTTCTATTATCAACTAAAAAATCTTGTTGATTATAAAAAGAGAAGCAAACTCAACTCAATAAAATTATCAATCAATCTGTCAATCAGTTTCAGTATCTTTTTCTTGTTTTCTTCTCTTTGTGATCTATACTATTTTGCGACATAACATATTGGTTTCTTGGTTTTAGGAAGGTTGTTTGTTGATTTTGGTCTCCTTATTGGTTATTACCTTTCTGTTTCATCCTTCTCTTTTCATACTGTGGTATACATACCACAATTGAGTGAAGAACAGACCCCACAACCAAACACTGGTTCCTTTTTGCTAATGAACCTGGCAAGTTAACAATCTCTGGAACTGTTACACACCAGGCACACATACACTACACACTCATACAGTGTAAACCAACCATTACACAACAGGGATTTGAATTACAGGGATTTGAATAGTAGCAGATATAAACAATATTATTTTGTCTCTTTAATAAAGAAGACTCTCACAGTATCTACTTTTCCCATTATTGACATACTAACCCATAAACAATCCCAAATACCTCACATACTCCTTTCTCTCTCTCTCAATTTTAACAACGATTCTATTGGTTATTCTCTCTTTTCTTATCTGTCAACTATTGCTGCTTGCTGCCTTTTGCTGTATCTGTCTTCTGTTTTATTCTATTATCATTGTATTTTATTTGCCAAATAATCTGTTACAATCTACAACAAACCTAACACATCATGCATCATTACTGACACAGATGTTGTCAAATGTTCTAGCATCAACCAAAAACGTATATTTGTTTGATGTGACATCAACTTATAGACAGACTATTAAGTTATGAACAGTGCAAAGTTGTGACTCCATCTCTGGATATGACAAAATCCGATTTCTTGGATTTATTTTCTTTCTCCCTCTTTTTCTTTTTTTTTGCTATCAATATTTAAATTCCTGTTAGACTTTAAATGCTTTTCCCTTTTTTTCCATTTTTTTCTTTGATTTTTATTTTCTTTTTAGCTTGCTTCTCTTTGCATTACACTTGTTTCTTTATACTTCTTAATATTACTTCTTTAGTATGCTTCCCAAGAGTTCCTATTTTTTAGTAGTTTGATTATTTTTATTTTTGATTATTTTTGATTATTTCCTTTTGTGATTATGCTTAACACTGAAAAAATTTACCAATTTTATCTTGCTTAAATATCAAATAAATCTAAGTGGAAGATGAAATATTCCCCCATTAATAGTGATATTTAATTTTGATACACAGTAAACTTTTATCTATGGCAATGAAATATATGATCAGATATATAGGTTGATCGGGTCTAAAGATATATGAGTTTATATCCAGCAAGCTGCACAAAACTAATAATATATTATACTTGCGCTTTACTCTCAATGAATATAGTGTTTTTTATGGCCTGTTGTAAGGTATATGTATAAACTCAAATGACGAGATGACCAATTACATAGAACTCTCTGTTAGATTTGCTACATGCACTGGAAAAATGACCTGACATACATATGTGTAAAGGCGTAGTTACTCAGGTGTCCAGACGGGGTTTAACATTGAGTCCAGATACATATCACTATGTAACAAGTTTGTCTTAGCACAATATGCCATGACCAGCTATACACATGTGTAGGGTCAAATAAAAATGATGGGAATATAGTTCTTTAGCACTTTCGGTGTGTTGATCTGACTTGGGATATTGAAAAGAGTTTTTTGAAACCAAGGTTTTATTTTTATATGTTTTATATGGAGCTTTAAAGGTGGATAATATATTTATTTTCGATCTTGACACAGTAGTATAGTTCAACATTACACCTCTTCGTTATCTTTTATATCCAATTAAATTCAATACTTGAGCAATTCTTTGGATTCTGAACCATAGTATAGTTCAATTGTTTTTATTTTAATTTCAGAAATTGTTTTATTGATAAAAATTTATAATAGTATTTATTTGGAAAGAACAGAATGTTTCTAGAACTATAACAATCTTATAGTATTGATTTATTGGATATCCGTTATTGCTTCTACTGGTCTGCTTGATACTGTTTGAATAGAATAATTATCTACAGAAAAGAAATATCTGAAAATATAAAAAGAAAGCAGACTGTTTGTTGAAATACAACAGTCTTTAAGAAGCATAGGCAAATTATTAGCTATGTGTGCTGGGTACTACATATAATGTAATATGCTTTTATATTTTGTGTACACTTTTATACTTATATTGTAAATATTGGAAAAGAGCGAGCAAAAAATAGATGTTGATATTGATAATCCATGGCGTTCCTTATGATATCTTTCACTATAAAAACAATGAAAACATTAATTTTTGTGAATCGAATAAAATAATAAATAATTTACATACCAGTAGCAAGAATATATATTAACAGAGATAGATTGTCTTTGTAAACACTTGATAAAACTCTAATGAAAAATAATAATATTTTATGTTAACACATTATAATATTAATATAACTAAAATAAAAAATAAAGTAGTGATTCTTACCATGTAATGTCATTTCCAGCTGTATAATGTAAGGGAAATCAAAGACGGGATCAACAGTGTTCATCTATAATAAGACTTCATTTTAGTAAGATACATGTCAAAATAATATATATATATACACTACCTTAATGTTTTTAACCAAATTCATTTGTAGCAGTTATTTTTGATGATCAAGTCTGTAATAAAAAAAACAAGTCAGAAGAATTTTTATAGATGTCAATTTCGCAAAATATAATATTAACTTTTGTTAATCTGGACAGCGATTGTGAAATGAATGCATTTAAATGAGAGCAAATGAGTATCTATTATAATAATAAAAGAATGTATTAATTTATATTGCTTATAAAAAAGTATTTAATAAAGAAGTATGTTACCAAAAAAAAAGCCACTAATATAATAATGACAAACGTTGGAAAAGAGGAAAGGAGCAGAAAAGAAGCAAGAAAAAAATATAAATTTTTTTTCCGCGTTTGAAACAATATACCAAAAAGCTTATCCAATAAACGATAGTAAAAAAAAACTGAAAAGAGATGATCAATTGAGGCCAAAAAATGTATCAAGGCCAATTTGCATCTCAGTGTTTCAAGAAGTTGTCTTTGAAGTGTTCCTGAAGCATCACTACCGCCTATAAATACTTAATATTTCTACTTGCAATTCAATGTCACTCACTCTTGATTATATCATCTCAACAAATCTACGTTGCGAATTTACTGTAATTTACATAACAAAATAAATGGATTGTCTCTTACAAAAGAGATTAAAAAAGAAAAAGAACTAATATTCACAATTGAAAATATTATAATGTATTACAGATAATGCCTACCCCCAACCGCAGACTCACTCCTTCTCTTGCTAGCACTGATGTCCAGTTGCTACAAGCTTTGAATGCGATGAAAGAAGAGATGAAGGCCATGAAGGATAAGATCACATTGATGGATACAAGAATTGGTGTAGTGATCACTGGTAACGCAACCGCCATTAATGGCATTGATGCCTTGTCTGCCCTCCCAGCATCTGCGCATGTGCCCACTAGTGTTGCATCCACTTCTGCTGCCCTTCTCATCACCGAATCAAGTGATACAAACGCTGTATTTGTAAGTATAAAGATACAAAAGACACTTGCCAATCTTGTTGCTAATTAAAATATAATAGGGATACATTCATGGTTATATGTGGAACCCAAAGCTAAAATCAAGAGACCAGGCAGAAATCCAAGCAAACACCATAAAACCAAAGTGGGCAGTTGATGTTCGTTTTGATCGCTCTCCAAATAGAGAGTTAGTCAAACAACTCTTGTATTACTTGGAAAAGAAGTTTGCTGGCACTGATATGAGGACATGCGACCTTTGTAAGTGTATATACACAAACTTCTGTAGTAGATATCGCCAGCAAAGGGAACTTCTGGAAACAAGACAAGCCTTGAACACTAATTCAAGAAGATCTGGCCGTGAAACTGATGTAAACTATATTTTCAATTTATGCTAAATAATAACAATTAGAATATTAATTGTATTGTCTTTTTCCTTTAGAACTACACTTGCCGTCGCCTTGCTTATGATGCTTACAAGGCTGACATTGATCTCAAGATGGGTCGAAACTGCTCTGGACTGATCCAAAAGTCGGTCATGTCTGAAGGCGAATCAGACGATGATATGTCCCCCTCTCAGCCAAGAAATGAGATTCGTGTTGCTCGCCCAAGTTGGAGAAGTGACGAGGTAAAACCTAACAGTTTTCTTTTTTGAATGATGCCAGGCTGAATGTTAATATATGTTTATTACTTAGCTTAACAAATTCATTATGGAGGTTGACTCGTTTGTTGTTAAGCAATTGGGTGCAAATTCCCGCCAACTGCTTAAGAGAGTTTATGGTAGAACAGTGGAATCAACAGTCCCAATTGATTTAGATCCTGCTCTACCTCAATGGGCTCTTAAATATGAGTCATAAATAAAACTCATTTTTTGTCATTTTTTTTTCTTTTACTCTCAAAATTTCTTAACACATATGTATTGTTCGCAACATATATAATAAGACTACATTAGCTTATATATTGAAAATTTTTATTAAAAAAGAAATGTATTAAATATTAATTGTATTGTTTGTGTGGTAAAGCGTTGACAAGTATTTTCTTATTATTTGTGCTGGTTTTATAATCACATGTTGCAACAACTGATGCTATTTGATGTACTAGCAAGATGCATTCAAAACCACACGCAATAAAATCTGCACTGCAGATGTCAACACTTTCCAACTCTCTTGAATGGTCATGCTCAATCTGGAACCACTTAACAAACGCAAACACGTGTTTATCTTGATAAACGACACGTGTTTGGAGCTCTGTGTTATCTACTGGTGGAGTGAAAGAGTGCAAGAACAGATACTGAATTTGGCCAGTGTATGCCAACCAATTGTTGCCTTGACTTCCAAGGAACAGAGATTGAACAAATGAGCCACGACCAGAAGCATATTTGCAGCCTTTGTAAACCTGACCAAGCAAATTGATTGATTTCAACTTTATGATTTGGTTGTCAACAAAGGAGAATGGAGAGGAGGGATGCTGGTAACCTTCAAGATTTGGCATGCAGTATGCGACTTTATAGTAATCAAGCAAATGAGGATAGTTGACATCACTCATTGCTGATGGGGGTTCAATATGGAGAGGAAATGCGGATGGAGAAAGAGGTTCATTGCCAAGGACTGGAAGAGAAGGGTTTGAGTATGCTTGGATGAAGGCTGATAGTCTGAACGGGCGCTGAGGAAAAGTTATTGTATTTTTTGAAGTGGAGGGTTGAGCTGTGGCAGTAAGCTTGGCGAGAAGAGGAAGAAACAGTACTTGGCTTGGGCATGTGAGAGCAGCATGAACAAAATCACCTTTGAATGTATCTTGGACGAAACTATTCATGTATGTAACCTCAAAGGAATTTTTTCTGTTTGTATTCACGTTCTTTAGCAGACCATCATATTGCTCAAACCCGAAGAGCCAATATCCATATACTGGTCCAAAATCACGGATGGTCTCGCAAAGATGGAGATGTAAATGCATGTTACAGGTGAGAATAGTTGGAGTGTAAATACGCTGGCACTCAGTACAGAATTCTTGAAGAAATTTATGGCCGTCGTCAATGTCAGAGAACGTGATGCTTGGCTTTGCTAATTGGCGGCAGGCATCAACAAAACTGATCCAATTTCTGAACATTTCAACTGGCAGGACAGCCTTCAACAAGATAGGCGAATACACTAGCACCCAGGACTTCCATTCATCAGCTTTCATGTATGGAAAGTCCTTTCCAATCTTCGATTTCAACACCACGTAATCCATTGGCACCACCATTGTCTCTGCCATTGTTTGCATCATAGCTAGCTTTCTATTGTCTATCAGTCCTTCTTTTATCTACCACTTCATCATTCTCTTTGATGTCCCCAGGAATAAATTATGCATGTGATTGATGATCGTTCCATGTACTAGATCAAAGTATCCAAGGCAATGCAGCTGCGACCATCAAATACCATTTTTGATTTCCAACTGATGCCTTTCTGAGGGCGTACTGGCACTCTTCCACTCCTCAGCATGCAACCTGTTTTCCAGACCGCTATGGATTTTCCACGTCAAATAGTCGAACCCACTGAAGTCGACCTGATTGGTGCTTGATAACCTGGTAAACTGCCTCACACATCTGGGACATGCACAAGTACTGTTGTGGGTGGTGAATCCACTGGTCTTCCTGGCAGTGGGGATGTCACAGGCAACTATATGTAATGCGGCACGTACATTAACACCGGCTGGGCACTCAAAGGTTGGGATGGTTATCCCCGTAAACAACTGCAGCAATTAATTGACTATTGGCTTTAAATAGTGGTTGATCTCTTTGGTCTTTGGCTCCTTAGAACCAGGCATCAAACCAACAAGGATGACATTTTCAAGCTTAAATCTTTCCTCACAAGGCAAGTTATTTATTGCAAGGTAGATAGCTCCAGTTGAATATGTAACGCCATCAAATGGCTGGAACCAGTTGATGTTCATTGTTAGCATCAATGAACGAGATTCATCCACAAACGATACGCCACTTTGGTCCTTTAGCTCCTTCCACATAGCACCACCATAGACGTTGCATAGTGTATCTACGACCTTAAGCTCTTTGTTTCATTGTCTGATTTTTTGCTCGAACCCAGAACAAAGAAAGAAAACTTGTAGTGATCACTGGATAGAGTTGTAGACGTATGATTGCTTGGCTACCATGGCACCAGAAGATGAAACCTTCATCAATTCACAATTACATGCTGATCGAGAACCATGCTTTTTGAAGTCGCAATGAGTAGGGAGAGGCACATCTTGTTTGTAAACTTTGTGGCAGTCTTTACATACAACAGACTTCTTGATACCATTGGGGTAATTGGAAAACCAGTCATTCTTTGCAGGCCAATAAGACTTTTTGGTAATTGGAAATCTTTGCCGTAGATCTTGAGTAACTGATTGATAAATTCAATCAATATGGCGGCACCTTTGTTAACAACATAATGCGAGATAAAAAGAACGGCAAAGGTAGCAATGAACCAATGGACAGGGTTTTCAGGCATGTTAGGAGCATCAAATGGGTCTATTTAAAATTAACAAAAATAAATTAGAACAAATTTTCTTTAGGTCTGTTTTTAAGAAAACAAAATCATTTATGACTGACCTTCATTAACAAACTCTTCAACATCTGTCTTGATACCTTCTTCTTCACCACTGCCAGAGACAGAGTTCATGTCTCTTTCAATGTCAGAGTCATTGCCATTGACCTTGCTGATCTCATCGTCTACTAAGACATTGTCAGCCATCATGGCAGCATTCGAATCAGGTGAGTCGGCCTGATTGTCTATTTTTTCAATGGATTCAGATTGACAGGTCGAGATATATACAAATATAGATTAGTTTAGCTTATTGTCTCTACTGGTTTTCAAATATTTTTTTCTTTTCTTTTCTTACATTGGGTATCAACGTCCATCATTTGTTTTTCTTGCACAGCTGTGTTTCATTAAAATTAAAAAATAAAGAAGTTATTACTCAGTAATCAAAAAATAAACCCTGAATATAACATACTATTTGCCAATCATTCAGCCGTATCCAGTCTCTCGATTCTCTCAAGCTCATCTTTTCTAATATGGCGCTCAGCAGTTCTGCTTGTCACCAATGAGTATCCCTGTGAATTTCTGCTACATTGAGCACAACAGCAGACAACATTACAGCAGTGGGGGATAGAAGGCATTTTATGTGTTTTCTTTGATGTGATTTATTGAGAATAAAAAGAGGAACAAGTGTAAAATATACTTTATTTGCACCAACTTTATAGTAAAAAAAAGCATTATATTTTATGGTTGTTTAATTGAATTCTTCTAACAAGTTCTTTTCTATATTATTAAATATAGAAAGAGACATGACAATTATGATATTATCAATTCATAGTCTTTATTCAAATGTTTTCAAGAATGCCTGTTGTGTGTAAAAGACATATATTTTTCTACTATGAGTTTATAAATAGATTATTGCGAGAGTAAATCCAGAAAATAGTAGGAATAAAAAAAAAGGGGTGGTAGAATGAGAATTCTGATAGGTCTCTGTATGTGAATTTAGCCTTCCGTACCAGACTGATATTCTAAAATTCTGTTAGCCAATGAAACCAACTAAAACTACATCTTTGATCTGAACTTCAAAAAACACACTGAGTTGAAAAAAATCACTATTTCTACATATGTGTTTACCAACCTGGCCACATTGTTAATCAGGGCGGTTTTTCCAGTGTTTGTGTCTTGGTGGAGATTCATGTATAAACATCTTTATATAATATGTACAGACAGCATAATAATGGTCCTAACATCCTGTCGCATTCTACACAATTTGTGTATTGATAACAAGGATTACATTACTGCAGACCTGGAGAATGAAGCTGATATACGCAGATTTTTAGAAGACAATGTTGATGGTAGAGTCAGTTTTTCATTCATCCTATTGGATAGAGACGGTGTTAGCCAGATCTTTGTATAAAATGAGTTCCCTACTGCATCAAGTCTTGATACTTGCTTGAGACAGCTCAAGGAGCAAGGAGTAATGAAAAGAAATAAAGTCGTTAGCAGCTTGTAAAGCTAAAACTTCCAGAATATACTTGTCTTACTTTTAGTTTAATGATATAAAATGATGAAAGATATTTGATATTTATTTTATGCCCCACCATTGTTATTATTTTAGATATGGCTACTTTTCACTTCTGATTCAACAAGCTTTAACAAAAAGAACTCTTCTCCCCTTCTGTTTCTTCTTTCCTAATCCACTTCTCTTGCTTCTGCTTCTTTCTCTTTTCTCTTTTCTTCTTTCCTTCTTCTCTCTTCTAATCTCTTCTCTCTCCTTTCTTCTTTCTTAAGTCTTAGCTCTTCTCTCTCTTTTCTTCTTTTTTCTTTCTCTAATTTTAGTTTCTCTCTCCTCTCTTGTCTTTCTCTTCTCTCAAAGTATTTTACTCGCATTTAATTGTCCAGATCAATCATCCTATTCTTTTCTGCTTGTTCTTCATTGCTACCAAGAAATGCCTCTGCAAATTTGCATGTGGCGGCTCTGGATTCTTCCATGACTTTGTCATAAGTCGAGCTCATTAACTCCAAGATGACATTGTAGTCTCTAGTATTATGTGTCTGACTCTGTCTTGTTGGTGTAGGGAGAGACACAGAGCTAGAACTTCTTGTCTCAGGCTCTTCAGTTACCAGTTGTCCTTCATCAACTACTTATAATGGCTGGGATATAATAACGTACTCTCTTATTATTCTTTCAGTGGAAGACGTACATATAATTATTGCACCTTGAGTTAACGTTTCACTTGTAAGCAAAGATGGAATGCTAAACAAAGAATCAGTCAAGATTATCTGGTGCATTTGTTTGAATCATTGAAAACGGTGCCAACCATTTTTAAGGCCACGACTAGCTTGAATATACACTCTATCTGACTCTTTCTTGAAGGCTACCTTAAGTGCTTTAAACTTGTTGTTGCATCTACTGCTGTCCACAGTGGTTTTGAAATGTTGGGGCAAACTGCTAAAGTCTTGCTCATTCCTAAAGGCCACTAGGAAGTTATTCCAAAGGTGCCCAACTTTTCTCTTATGTTCACCTGCAGATCTGATCTTGTTGTGAATGTCAGTATTAATGGCAGCTTTGAAGAATAAACTTGTGCTATTTGTGCATCACAATTTGTTATTTGCTGATGATGAGCCTTGGACGTCATCATTATGCTCTGTTTTAACGTTTTCAGCATTTGTCACATCTTCAAATTCTTTATTGTTTTCTATATCCTCAAAGTCTTCATCATTTTCTATGTCTTCAAAGTTTTCCAAGTCTTCTATATCTTCTAAATCTTCTACTTCGCCATTTCCAGTTACTTCAGCATCAGAATCATAAAGAACTTCTACTTTACTGTTGTCAATTGCTTTATTGTCATGAACAAGCTGGTCTTCAATTTGTTCAAGATCTGTTTGATCAGAAGTGATGGCACGAGGGGCTTTACCATGTGGTGCAGGTTGAGTGGGGTCAACAGAAAAGAAACATAAGTTGTTGAATGACATTAGAAAGAAAAATAGCAAATGATAAAACAAATAAGGGTTTAAAGTATAAGATAGTAAATTAAAAACAGTTTTTAAATACTGTGCTGATAGTAGTCAGAATATACTTTTATATTTGGATATTAAAAATATTTTACCCATGCTAGAAAGAGAATTACTTATTTATTTTCTTTGAGTTTTAATTCTTTGGGGAAGGTCCACTAATTTCTGAATCTTTTTATTTTCTGTACCTTTTGCACACCGGACAACCAAAATTTGAATTTCAGAATTAAGCGACATGTTACCTTTGTATTTTCTCAAAAAAACACAGAGATATAGAACCAAAATAATGACATATTAAGATAGCCAAGAATACAGCTTAAATTTATACTTACATATATTTCCAAATATACAATGTTAAGAAGGTAATAGGAATAGTTATATATTGTGAGAACAATTGTAAATAAAGCAGAAGATTTTTTTATTAATGATGTTGTGTATTTAAAGTTCTAAAATGAGCTTCATATTTAGCTTTGATTTCTTGAAAAGCCTTTATGGGAGCAACATATGCTGCCCTGATAACCTCTGCTTCCTCTTCTGTAGCATACTGCATCAGTTGATACAAGTTTTGCTCATTATGTCTAGTTGTTAATGAACAATTCTTTGCATACTCAAATGCCTCTATGGCATACCCACGCCCAGTGCTCTCCCTTGTGCCATCAATTGACATAGTGTTGTCATTAACAAACTGCTCACCAGAAATTGTGATTGGCAGCACATTATTTGCAGGAGCCACAGACAAGAAAGCAAAGCCTGACATATGGATATGGAGCAAATGCATATGCTTACAAGGCTTCATGTACCTAGCCCAAGAATAACACGTACAAGAAAGAACAACATTGTTGTTAACTTCAACTTGATAGGTAATACCATTTTCGGTAAACGAGTCAATAAACTAAAACCCGTCTTCAAGAATATCATCAGTGTCATCAAGAGTGTCGTTCAGAGACATTGCTTTTGACGGGCTAACAATCATATTAGCACGCATGTATGCTGGAACAGCTTCAGCAGACATCTCTCTCTTCCTTTGTTGTCTTTGGGCAGCTGTCATTGGGCCACTGCGCATATTGATTCTGATACTCTCCTTTTTGAAGTAGAACTCTACTTCGTTTGTCAGTATGAAAATCAGTCAATCAAATCTTTTGTTGTGACTGCGGCCTAAAAAATGAGTTTTTAGCTAGTTGTGCCAAGACTTGATGTAGTTGTTTGTTAGCATGTGAGAGAATTCAAGCTGATGAAAAGCTCTACTCCAAACACAATACTTAGCCATGGTATACCAGTTGGTCTCAAAGTATCGGACAAAATCAGGTTGACTTTGCTGATATCTTCCAATGAAGTCAGCAATCTTGTCAAGAAATACAACTATATGCTCTTCATACATGATATGCTTAAGAAAAGTCAGCATTTCTCCTTGAACCAAACGGTTTTGAGCAGCAGTATTTCCTGTCTTGACTTTCAGGTTTAGTTGTCTGTACCATGCTTGACTGACATGAAAAAGACAGTATTGGATCTGGCATCCAGGGAAGATTGCCATGAGTGCATTTGTCTCAGCATCACTACAGTCAGTAGTGAACTGCTGGGGGTTTACAACCAACTGATTGACTTTCAAGTGCTTCAACCATTGAATAATTGGACCTAAGGAATGGTCATTGGTCAGCATGTATGCACAGGGGAAACCACGATCAAGTTCTTCATCACGAATGACAATAGTATAAAGAATGTCATTTGATTTTTGAGTGATACTGTAGGTGGCATCCATACAGAATTTTGCTGCAGCTTTTATCTTGATTTGCTGGAAAGGCAAGGTAAATCTACATGCATACAGGCTCTCATCGTTCGAATATGTCTGCAGGTTACCTTCAAAGATAATAAAACCTTTGGGAGAAAGTTTTTCAGTAAACCACATCTTCATAGACTTAAAGTCGTCCTTATGCAAATGAAAGATTGTTTGGTTGATCTAAAGTTCAGATACATCAAAACAACTGTTAATATTCAGAAGTTAAAGAATAATTGCAATGTAAAACTTACTGCAAGTATTTTGTTGTAAATATCAAAGTAGTTGATTTTACGTCTATTGAGAGAATACTCTTGCTGGTCGATGTCGCAAAGAATCTCAAGTCTGATTTTTCTAGCTGATGAGCCTGGACTGGCTGTCAAACGGGCAACAATATCATCAACACGACCTCGAGTTAAAGGAATAAGTCCAAGATCGGTTTTAATATCCCCAGGAATATGGTTGGTGTGGTTGGCAATAAAATCAAACACGTAAACATGAGACTTGTCAGCATAACAAGTAATAGTGAGAGTTGCCTTACAGCTGACTTTCTTCGATTTACGTTGAATTGGATGCTTTTCTCTGCTTTCAGGTTCATAGCTTCCACCTCTATGACAGGAGTATACCTGGGAGAAGAGCACACACTTCTTCTTGGTGATATCAACAGCGGAACTATGTCTATTAGGATGACTGATAATCCACTTGACGCAGCATTGTTCTTCAATTTCTTGTTTGCAAAGTTCTCATTCAGAAGCAAAAACACAAACAATGTTAGACTTCAACTTCATAACATTAGAAATTGTCGAAGGTCCCAATGCAGATCCAATATCTCTCAGGGTTCTGACAGGTGCTGCTTCAAGTGCTGCCTTTCTCAAGGCTTGTTGTTCTCTTCTTGTAAGTATTACTTCAGATATTGGTGGTGTTTCAGTAGTGTATTAAAATAGAGAAAAAGGGGTAATTATTATTATCCTTAGAGCCAAAAAAAAAGAAGGAAAGCCGGTCACATTATCTTGTCCAGACGGACTTCAATGTGCAAAAGGTACAGGAAATAAAGGATTTTCTAATTTCTTCCTTGATGAGATTGAATTGAACATAGCTTTGTAGCTTTTACAAACAGTGCTTTTGAAGTGTGGCTTTTATTAAAACTTTTTTTATTTATTTTTTCCCTTGCTCCCATTTATTTTGAATATAAATATTATATTATAAACACAAGTTTTACAATGTCTAACACTATCTACAATTTGTTTAATGTGCAGAATGTATTGGTCAACTCGCCTTTCAGAGAAATAAAAATGTTTCTATTAAATACAATAGTGTCAGTTAGAGCCAGTGAATGACAAGAATGTCTTGATTTCATTCACGAACTTTGTTCAACAAAGTAGGCGAAGAAAAGAGATTTGTATATCTCAAGCAATTTGGTGTTTTTAGAGACAGCATGGTGTCATCATGGAGGCAAATACAAAACAAAGCGTACTTACTGTTTAGCACAAAAGGATTTGAAGCATTGTGGATGTTCTGCTCTTCTTCACATTAAGCAATATGTCAGCTCAGATGTTGTTACTTTTTGCATGTCAGCAGATCATACAAATTAGATCTTAGAACTTTGTCTTTGTCTTCTAAAGCTGTCAAAATGATTGAGAATCTTCTTAAAGGAGGAAGCAATTATAGAAATACTAGAATTTCTGTTCTAAGACGAATTGAGGAATGGGGTGTAGATGTTAGGAAGCCTAACTATGAGGATATGTATAACAGAATGAGAAAGATATGTGATTACATATTAAGAAAGTCTTTAAACATGTGTTAAATAAAAATATAGATGAAGAATTTGTTATACATGTTTCATTCAGATGAAGAAAGATCTCTAGCAATCTGAATGAATGAAAAGTTGCCCTCCCAAAACTACTGTATCTTCACTGCCCAGCTATCATTCTTCAATACCTCTTTGTTGCCTTTTGCATTTGGGTTCTAATCACCCTCTCAAATTGCACTCATGACAATTTCCAAGTCGATTTGCATTGATACTACTTATGGAATCTCTGCAAGAAGTATGGAAGTTCTTTACTCAATTGTCACATGCCATCCAGAAACAGGCAAAAGTATACTGATAGCATACATGTTCACAAATGATCATAGTGCTGCCTCTATAGATTAATGGCTGGTACATCTCTGCACAAATAGTGGATTTACACTTACAAACATCACTATTGATTATAGCATAGCTGAGATCAATGCTATTACAGTAGTGTTGCCTCAAACTGCAATTCACTTTTGCAACTTTCATGTTCTTCGTGCCTGGCAGCAAAATCTTGACAGCAAAGTGAAATCAGATGTATTATACATATCAGAGCAGCTTGGAAAGTACAAGCAAAAATTAAAGAATGGTCTGAAAGATATTCTTGTTGAATCTGATGAGGAGACGTTCCTGGAGAAAATTGACTACTTTACAGAGCATATTTTGAGTCAAGGTCAATTTCTTCAATATTTTGAACAAAGGTGGGCAGGAAAAATGGAGTTGTTAAAAAGATGTTAAAGACTGTACATACAGTCCAGCCATCTACAATACCTGACCAACAATTATATTGAATCATGATACAATCAGCTCAAGACGATATATATAAATCTTGTGCGTGTTAGAAGACTAGACCATTTGGTTTTAATTTTGACAGATGATTTTGAATTTTTCTATGATGAAGAAGTAGAAAGAATTCACGTCAACAATAGAAGAATGAGGCCAGTTGAGAACAAGCTATCTCAACACTCTTATGCAGCCTCTCAGATTCAAGAGGACATACTCTCTACTATGATTATCAGCCCATCTGGTGAGATTAGAAACAGTATGAATGACTCTGATGGGGAGTGAAAGATCAAGTCGTTCATGTTGGAAGATTTGTGATATAGTGTCTTTGTAATCAATAACTTGATTCAAACATACTCTTGCCCAAGATTTTTGACATGACAAATTCCTTGCAAGCACGCATATTTGTTGAAGAGATTTGCCAGTCTTGACTGTGCATACTTTTTGCAACAAAAGCAATATTGCTTGCAATTGCAATTACTCAAGATGCCAGTAGAAGTAGATAAGAAAAGAGGTGTGGAGGATGAAAGTAAGAGAAGTAGCCAGAATCTGTCATATTCTTGTCAGCAATTTATGACATGTGCATTGCCACTTTATCATCAAAGAGAAGATATGGAAGTAATGATGAATATGTCAGAAGTTGACATTGGGAAAGTAGACTTGATAAACAACATATTAGAAGAAGTACAAAAGCAGTTGGATCTCATCAAAAGTATGAACTTGTCACTCTTTAGAAACTTGAACACACAAAAATAATAAAAAAAACAATATTATTTATTGAAATGTATTTTGAAAAAAAATTAAAAATGCTAAAAAATATATATATTGTAATGACTTTGAGGGACTGAGTTTAGAAGTGAGACTAGTTGTAAAAAACTAGATGATTTAGAAGAGGTTTTTGAGCTTGAGAAAGATGGAGCTTTATTGACAACAATTTGACGAGTATTTATACTGATTGAGTGAAGAGATAAATAAGAAATGGAGAAGGTAGTTTATGCATGCAGTTACGCATGCTAAACAGCTTAGAAGAAGTAGAAGAACGCAGAGGGATGATTCTGGCAGGAGCATATGCAAACAGAGAGTACCTCAAGATACTAGTAGAGATGGGGTTTGTAACGGGACTTGTTCTTGAACATAACAATATATGAAACTCTAAAAAGAAAACAAAAGTAAAAGCTGTCACAGTCTCTATATTTCATGTTTAATTCAATCTCATCAAGAAAAAAATAGTGGACCTCCCCCCAAAAAATTAAAACTTAAAGGGAATAAATAAGTAATTCCCTAGAAAGCAGGTATAAAAATTGCAGTCTTTAAAAATATTATTTGTTTTTTAAAAAAAATATACTTCTAAAATAGGAACATTATTGTTTTTTAATAAAAATTTCTTTATTGAAAAACAATTCCAAGAGCACCTACAGTGATTTCCAAAATTCAAAAAAGATTATTTTGCTTTAAAATCTATATATTTTACCCCTGCTAAAGAAAAGGAGTTAAATCTTTTTAAATATCCATATATAGTAATTTTAATAATTCCTATCAACACTGCCTGTAAAAATAATCTTGTTTTTTTTGTAATATTTCATTTTCTAGAATTTTATATATATCAAAGCTAATATTTTTTTAAGTAGGCAAACAATATGTTATTGTAAGCAAAAACCATTATCTTAAGCAGTATATTTTGTACTTTATTAACAAGAAATGAGAAAGATAATTAATTTTAATATGCTATATGTTCAAAAAGAATCCTACCTCTTGAGTGTAGTATTGATTACAATACAGACTTGAAATTATGTAAATATCATCTATATTTGATAAATTGCACTATTCTGAATATGGTAGGTGCTCACAAAGTGAAGTGTCAATTGACCAAAAAGTGTCAATCAACTAATTAGGCAATAGAACAAAAATACAAATATAGATATAATTCACGTAATAAAATGTTGGTATTAGAGAGCTTGCTATCTGGATTTAAATACTGTATATCAAAAGTAGCAAGAGTTTTATATCTGTGTCTAAATTATTCAGCAACTTAAAATAGGGAGATGATTGTTGTGATGAGAGCAAAAAAACAATCATAATGATCTTATTAACATATATTTTTATGGATAATTAGCCAATACAATATCTATATTAATATCTTTTTTATATATTATGTTTTGTTTCCAAGGTTTTACTGCTATTTAAGAAGATTTATATTATATTTACTTGTATTTGAGCTTATTTTATTAAAATAAGCATATTCAAAGAACAGCTTAATATGTTTACTACTTCAATAATGTGCTTAAGAAAACATATACGTAAAATTCGCCATAAGTAAGAGTTTGCAGAGGTATGGAGAACATTTTAAATTATATAGCCAATTAACAGACATAGTTTAACACATGAGTTTACTATTTTGATAATTATATTCCAATCGTTTAGAGCAGATACTCTGGACAAACAGTTGTGTAGAAGTACAGATACTTTTGTATTAGAGCAAGCTTATTTTTGGTAGTTTATTTTTTATATTCTTTCTTTGGCTTTAATGTTATACCATGCAATCTTCTCATAGCTGACTACTTGCCTTTCTTATGGTGAAGTGTAACTTTTGAAGATTAACTTTCTTTTACTAATTATGAGAGTGTTTTTGAGAGTAATAAAGAACATACTAACTTGTATATAAGAGTGAAATAGGTGAAATGGGAAAAATTTAGCAAGAATGCAAAAGACAAATGTTCTTGTTTACATTACACTCTTTGATGTGTTATGTTAATAATTATTATCAAGGGGTGAGGATTTCTAAAGATTTCTCTGGACATTCATTTTTAATGACCGACGCTGGAATAACGGCCAATATCTTAGGTTCCCACCCGAAATAATTATTTCTTTTCAATGAAGGTCACCACGATTAATTTTTTTCCATAAGTTATATGCAGCCTAATAAAACTTTATTAAAAATTCGGTTTTTTTACACATATCTAAAAAATATCATTATATTTTTATATATGTTCTTTAACATATTAATGAAGAAGCAGGTTTCTTTTATTAAGTACTTGTCTTGTTTCTCATATATAAGTGCAGCAATATCTTAATATCGGAGTTTCTCTTAATCACCTATTACTAAGCATAATAAATTACAATGAATTTTCTGGCAACATTAATATAAGTAGCATGTAAAAGTGCTACCTTTTCATCTTCCCAGATCTTTTAATATCTACTCAAAATGAATCCAAACGCTCCTAGCTATTCCGCCGCAACTTCTGATGTGAATGTTAGAATGATGGAGGCCCAGGTGTCTACTTCTCGCGAAGCTGAAGTTAACAGACCAGAGAACATAAAGAGAAGCTATGCTTCTAAGCAAAAAGAGTATAAAGATTGGTATGATGAAGCTTTCTCGAGCATTCCCCTTGAAAATCACTACACTGTATATGGAGATAAGCTCCATTTGTTTCTTAAAGACTGTGTAAGTTTTTTGCTGTTGTTTGGAGATATATTTTGTAAGTAATTGAATTAATTATCTTTTCTTCTGTTAGGTTGTCAACCGAACCTACAGAAGAGACACTGGAAAAACTATCAAGTATGGAACTGCAATGGCCTATCTTGCTGCTATTGTGGATATGTACCAGAAGCAAGTTAAAGTCGGTGTGAACAACCACCCTCACCCTTGCAAGGCTTGTATCCAGCTGTTGGACAACATGAAGTTCAACAATGAGTGTGCCCGTCATGCTGAAAACCAGGACCGTGGCCTTGGAACTCTGGTGGATGGATACATCACAGAGAACGAGATTGCTAGCATTGTTAGCTATTATTTCTTGAGATCAAGCAGAGGTGACCTGAGAAATGTGGTGTCTTTTCTTCTGTCGCATTTTTGTATGCTCCGTGGCAAATCTGCAAGAAAAGCCAAATTTGCCAACCTTCAGACAGTCATGTTGGATCGTGAAGGACCTTCCAAATGCCCTGCCTTTGTCTTGGTCTTAAAGCAGGGAAAGACAAACCAGTTCGGACGAATTGAGCTTGCAGCCTGCTTGAGAAATTCCAAGGTTGAGATTTGTCCATTCATGGCACTCAGATGCTATTTCTTCTGGAGATGGCATATTGATGGTGAGCAGTTTCCATCTTTTGAAACATCCGAGGAATGGTTCAACCATAAGTTGCTACGATCTGGGCAGGAACCAACCAGGGAAATGCCTTACTACACTCATCTTGAAGCAATCAACAGGGCATTCAAGGCCTGTGGAATCGTTTCTATAGCAAAGACCCATGCTGCCCGTGGATCATCAGCAAGAATGGCTGACATGAGTGGTGCTGACGAGTCGGATATCAGAAGGCAGGGTCGCTGGAATAGCAGCACAATGAATGGTGCATACCTCACCAATCTTCCGAGAGGTGCGATGCGTACTATGACTGGATTTCCGTCAGCTGAGAGGCAGTTCTACTTGCCAAGAGCCCAAGTGAAACCAGCTGAGTCGCTCCAGTGCAAGGTTTTCCCAATGGTAGACTTTTGGTACGACAGGATTTTGTCAGGAGCATGCCAGCAAACCGCAGCTGCACATGGGTTTCTGGAGCTTCTGAAGCAATTAAGAATCACTTTTCTACAGGATTCTGTGTTAATGATGAGCAAAACTCCAGGGCACCCATTGTGGCAGCAAGGTGTATTCCATGATCCCGAATATATCGAGTTCAAGAGGTAAAAAAAACTAATATATAATACAGTGAAAAAAATAGTTCTAATATATTTACATGTCAATGTTTTAGATCAGTCGAGGCTTTTGTGGAGACAGATGTTGAGCCTACTGACATTCTTTTGCAGAGAGCACTTCCTCTGATGGCCAGAAAGTTGGCTGACATGCAGAATGCGAACAGCGGGTTTCACAGAGAAGTTCTGTGGGAGTTTGGTGTTCTTCACCAGAAGATTGACGACTTGGTATCTGGGAGAATCCCTCTTCGGTCCCTTCAAGAAGATGGAGGGGAAAGAGATGGAGCTAGATCAACAGAGGTCCAAGCATTTCCAGTCCCGGCCAACAACTCTGAACCAATTTCCCAGCTGCCAGACATACCTGTTTGGTATAGAATGAGCAGAGGTGTGCAGACGGTGACTGACTTGTGGAGAGAATGGCATGTGGGACTCTCTGACTGTGTCTCCATACACGAGATGGAGACGAGGTACAGCATTGCTTGGAGAAACAATGATCGACAGTTCTTCAATAGATGTAAAAGAATTGTCGATTGTATTAAGGAATATATGGTTGACAATTCCGTAAGTGAAGAAACAGCAGTCGAACTTGCAAAAGAAAACCAAAGAAGAAGACGAAGAACTCTGGACTTTTTGTCTAAAAATTCAAGCCAAATCTTTCAATGATTGTAAAAATAAAAAAAAATATATCTTGTTTCTTTTTATGATATTCAGTTAATGCTGCTATTAATTTAATAGCTTCCCATTATTTTCTGGTACCATTCTTGCTATATTCTACTTTATTAGATCAAACAGCTATATGTAATTAAACATATACTTAAAGAATAATACTTTATCCAATTCAATATCAGCTTTTTGATAAATATAAGAGAAATATAGATACTTTTAAAGCTTCTACTCACGTTCATATATATATATATTTATAAGAATTTGAAAGAATCTCTTGTATGTAAAGAAATATTTTGTTTTGATCATTTTTTTGTAATGAGCAGCATATTTTTTTGGTGAAAATTACCTATAAAATTCGGTGTTCTAATGATTTTTTATTTTAAACAAGTCACTGGTTGGCTCGTTGTCTGAGTCTGTAACCCCACTAAAAACTCTGTGATAACTCCTTAATATCATATCAAATATAATGAGTTTTAAGGTGCTCTCGGAATTGTTTTTCGATAAAGAATTCTTTATCGAAAAACAATAATATTTCTTTTTTAGAAGATTAATATGTGCCAAATATAGATGTCATGTAATAAATAATATGTTGGTGTTATAGTCAGTACTATACTCCAAAGATATAAACTTATTTGAAAGCATATTAAAGGAATACTTTTTCTTGTCACTTTATCACTATGAGGAAGCATGTAATATTCAACTTCAAGTAAAGCACTTGGTATAAGATAGCATACCATATATTATTTTGAGTAGAAATTACTGGTTTGTATAGCAAATAAGACCCTAAAAATAATATATAACAGTAAGATAAAAGCGATTCTCAAATGATGTTCTGATAGTAGTAAAAATATACTTCTATATTTGGATATTAAAAAAATTATCCCTGTTAGAGCATCTCCAGCAGTATCTAAACCCAAATACTAAATATCCAAATTAAGATTTACCGTGCTAGTACAAATAAAGCAATTTAGTATGAAGAATATCAAGGTCACTCCAGCAGTTTCTTAACACAGATTCTAAAGAGCTGATGATTTTGGTGAGGTTTTTCCTAAAGTCTGAGATTTAAAATTGAAAATTCAAAGTCACAATATAAAAAATGGAAATTTAGCAAATGATAGAATCTAAACAAATTCTGAGAAAACCTACAGAAGTTTAGATTTTGATTCAAAAAGTTTAGATCTAAATTCCGGATTTGGGTATTTAGATTTTTGTTTAAAAACTGCTGGAGACGTTTTTTTTGGAAAATCTAAACACCAGTTTCCTAATTTGGATATTTAGTATTTGGGTTTAGATACTGCTGGAGATGCTCTTAGAGAGCAGGTATAAAAAGTACGGTCTTTAAAAATATTGTTTCTTTTTTAAAAAAAATATATACTTCTAAATGCTAATTATTTGGGGCAGACACTTTTCCTCTTGGGCACGACATTTCTCTGGAGCACTACGTTTATTGAATCTCCGCCTTTCACCATTTACCAGCCTCATAAAAAGTGACTTAGTGTCTAGCATCCAGCAATTTTATCTGGTCCCTAACCATCAAAAGTAGTTTATATGAGTAAAATCAATCTATCAAAATATAAATAATTTAATTCATGAATAAAGTACATCTTTATTTAATATAACGGAATTTCTAGGTGTACTTAAGTAGTAATCATATTAATATTTCTATTTTTTTATGCAGTATATACAAAATATACAATTTGTAAACGTTGTACCCAAGAGGCAAAACGTTGTGTCCCAAACGTGGCTGTGTAAGAAACGTCATGCTCAAGAGGCAAAATGTCGTGTCCCAAACGTGGCTGTGTAAGAAATATTGTGCTTGAGAGACATAACGTTATGTCCTAAATATGGCAATAGAATAATTGCATTCAAGAAAACTATTGATGCAATATTTTACTTATTGAAAGTAAAGCTTCTATAAGTATAATTATAGAGATTTCTAGAATTTTACTTTACATTTTAAAGAGTTTATATTCAATGCAATGTCTTTTTTATTGTAGTTCTTATGCAATAAACGCACAATATAAAATAAATAAATAAAAATTGTGACCACACCTATTTCTGTAAAAACAAAAGATCTATTTGGTTTCTATCAACAAATCATATACCTGCTGTTGCTGATGAGTCATTTTTTCACGATTTAACTTGAGACATAAATCATATATTTTCATTTTATGTGATTTAAGTGGAAAAGATTATAATCCATATAATTTGTGTTATGTATGAAGTAAAAATAAGATATAAAATAAAACAAGTGCAGACGAGAGTACAGTGATGTAGTGATCCAGACACTCGGATGTTGGATTTATCACATATAAGAACATATTCATATTGGGATAGCATAGTAGCTATCATCTTGTCAGTATAAAATATATAGAAACGATTAAGTAATCAGCCCAATAATTATTACAATTAGTACTGTAGATAATATCTTAAAGATTGTTAAGATAATTATATCATACTGCTGAGTAAACTGTGTCAGATCGATATGGAGCTAATTTAGTAGGAAGTCCTAAAGCTCTAGTGTAAAAGAGAAAAGAATAGCTAAGAGCTAAAGAAGTACAATTTATGACTTGATGTCATAATTGTAACACTGACACTAGTTAAGCAGTAAATACACTCTAATAACCAAATATAGTAAAGGAAGAAAGCCTTAAGAAACTAAGACGTAATGACAAGAGCAGATTGTGTTTTCTTATAAAAAGGGACACTTTTTATTTATGAATAAAGAAAACTGATATACAGTCTCAAAGTATTTCTATACGTCTCTATTATCAAATATTTTATTTTTCTATTGTTTTGTACCTGAAATACCACAATTGAGACTTTGTTTTATTAGAAGAAGTGAAAGAATCAGAAAGGAGATGCTCTTCTATTGCTATTTGTATTGTGCGTTTATATAGACATTGTATTTAGCTTGGAGATGATATGATGATATCATGTAATGTCTGTTTCTCTACCATTATCTTCTATGATTTAGTTCTTATGTTTTTAGTGTTATTGACTAGAGTCTTAGTATTTGTCTTAGTATGTTCTTTATGTAATTTCCTTGTATAAGGGAAGATATAACTTTTAGTATTGTTACTAGTTGTGGGTAACTCAATGTACGTATTTATTGAGTGTCTGTACTTTTAGTTTAAATCTACGATTATGTTAGATACAACAATTTGCATTTTTTTCAAAAACTTTCATAATAGATATAAAGGTAATGAAGCCTTTTATGCCTAAAAAAGTTTTCTTAGCAGTAAAGCTAATATATTTTTACAAAATTCTTGTTTTTATTTTTTATTTTTTATTTTTATTTCTTCTGTAAAAACTCTTTCTATCATTTCCTTGCAACATGTACATGAGATATTTTATCAAAAATACAAAAAATGAAAAGTATTCATATAAGACCAAAAAAAGTTTTTAATTACATATATTCAGATAGCATATGAATCCAGTAAAAGTTTCATAGAGAACAAATAAGAAAAAAGTGATTCTACAAGCAAATACAATATTTTATTTAATTGAAAAAAGCAAATTTTTGAGATAGTACATTAGTTTTCTCATGATCGACCCTTTCAATTCAACTAAAAATTTTAGAACATATACATATATCTATATACTATTTGGATCCAAAGTTATAGAGAGCCAAGACTTGAATTGATAAAATAAATAGATACAAATGCATAATATAACATATTCGAAGATAGTTTGGCTCCATCTGTGTAACACCATCCGATATTTATGATTTTTAATTCGCTGGTTATAAGTGTAACTCGAAGGGTAAAGTACTTCCCATGAATGATCTCTAGAAAAAAACAGAGCGGAGAGTCATTTAACCCACAAGTGATAGATAGCTTATGTTGATGCAAAGAAACAAATTGATAAGATTTATAAAGATTTAAAAAAGATTTTCTAGCTAATAAAATATAAAAGTAAATGAGTAAATAAATAAGAAAAGATCTAGCTAATAAAATATAAGTAATAAAGTATAATTAAAAGAGTAATAAAATAGAAAAGAATATCAAAAAGAAATTATTTTGGAGTAAGATCAATTGGTTGATCTAGATCAGAATGGAGAGAGAGCATGGCATTTTAGCGATCATACTTGTTAAATTCTTTGAACTTATTCCAGTAAGTATCAAAGTTATCATCAATCTTATTTCTGGCACAACCTAAAAAAATAATTCAGGAACGGTTGGCTATTTTCTAGAGATATTATGAGAAAGGTCAACTGTTGTCCAGTGATTACTGTTAAAATGATTAAAAATCAGAGGTTGTCGTTGTTTGGTTTTGTTGTTGGGAAGGGCGAATGGGAGAAAGGTTGTTTAGGGGGTGTTGGGGTTGTCTGAGTAGATGCAGACTGGTCGTGTATATGTGTCCGCAGCTAGTTGAGCACAGTCGGATGTGTTAAACCACATATTGGCGTCTGAACATACTGGGATGAAGTTGGTGTTGGTGTTGGTGTTACTGGTGTTGCTATAATCGAGTTGAGAGCCATGTTGAATGATTTTTTCTAGTTGGCTTGTGTCAGTGCCGAAGGTATTTGTGTACAATGTTTTGTATTTCAGCAGGGTGGCTAGCATATCTCTTTTTACAAGTGAAAACTTATTTTAATCTTTGTAGATCAAGTGGGCAAGGACCTGAAAACCACACCACCTGTCAGCAGTAGGGCTAAACCCACCCTTGACATCATCGACTATCTCATGAGAGACAGGAAAACCAGGCTGGAATTTGACCCTCTTGCCAACAGAGGTGCAATTATCATACTGGTAATCTTCTAGGGTGGTGGTGGGTCTTTTGAACCCATTTTTTTGGGAGGCATCAACTAAAAAGTATATAAGTATAAGACGATAGTTCTCTTTATGGATTCAATTACACTGTAAAATAAGAAAGCATATTACCTGGGTTGAGAGACTCTTGTTTTATTTTTGTTGTTTTATTTTTGGTGGCATCAACTAAAAAGCATATTCGTGTAAGACGACATCCCTCCACATAAATTCAATTAAAGTAAAATAAAAACACATCTTACCAGGGTCAAGAGGCTCTTGCTTTATTTGTTTTATTTTGTTTTTGGTAGCATCAACTAAAAAAACATGAAAGTATAAGATGGGAATCCTTTCTCATAGATTCAATTACATTGTAAAATAAGAACACATCTTACCTGGGTCGAGAGGCTCTTGTTTGTTTTTGTTTTGTTTTTTGTTTTTTGTTTTTTGTGTAGCTGCAGGCTTTCCCTTCCTCATTTTAGCTCTCAGTCTAACCATTGCCTTAAGGTCAGCCTAGTACTTCAAGATACATATTAATACTTTGTTATGTTATTTTTTTTATCTTACATGACCAGACAAAACACTGATCTTTCTCCAGTTTGCCCAACCAAAGTCTTTGGGGAGATGCTTTGGACGTGCACTACCCTTCCGTTTGCCAGGGTACTTGATTTTTTCTAGGGCTTGAAAGTTAATTGAAGGGTGCTCAGTTTTGCCTTCGAATTCAGAAGTGACCTTCTTGATCTTATTCAGGAGGTTAGTCACTTGCTGGCTGCCCTCACAGGACTGAAACAGTGACTCGAGTTTAATTACTTCCCCCCTCCACACCTCTGGTCTTTCCTCAAGCTGGAAGTTTTCCCGACAAGTGTTGTCCCTTGGCTTTACATTACGAGGATCAATAACCCACCTTTCAGGGATATCAGAAATATAGATATCCCTTCCAGCAGGCAAAGAATGGCGACAAGGTAGACCATACTGGAGCTTGTTCATGCATTCACAAACAATACTGCTTTTACATTTCAGTCGAACCTCTTGGTCTATTACCAGTAAAGCTCGCTTTGAGACCTTCATGAGCAGTCTAGACAAAAGCTTGTTTCGTCTAACAAGAGGGTCAACCGTGGTAGATTCCCTGATCTCCACATTCCGGAAGTCTCTCTCAAGCCTCTCAATATATCTTGAAATATTTTCAAAGGCGAGATCCAGAGAAGCTATTGCAGATATACCTCTCTTTAAGGCTTGATGGGCACTTTTCACTCTTTGAGATGTTGTCCATCAAAAATGCATTATCTTCTGAGTAAGATAACCTGCCCACTTCTCTTGGCATGTAATCCACCTGTCATGAAAATATGCCAAGACTGGCGCTTTCACATTGCCATTTTCTACTTCGGAACCAGCAGATACAGCATTGAACTTATTCAGCGCCCAGTCAAACTCCTTCTTACTTTTGCTATGGATCATATTGGATATATATCCCGTCAGCTCTTCCTTTTTTTGTACTGAGCCAACTTTTCCCGAAAAAGCCTTTTCCACACTATTCAGCATGTGCCAGTAACAAAGCAGCTTGCTGTTGTTTGGAAACACAACATCAAGAGCGTTCATAAGTGCAGCACACTTGTCTGTCACAAAAACTGTGCTAAGAGCCTTGTCTTCAAAAACAAGTGCCTTGAGTTGCTGGAGGAACCAAAGATATGTGCCTTGCTGCTTGTTAGAGACCCAGGCAAAGGTAATGGGAAACGATTTGAGAGTTTCTTCTCCAAGGTTGTGAATACCTTCCACGCAAATCAGCGGCATTGACAAGTTATTGGTAGAATATGTAGCATCTACCACCATAACTTCTGAGAAGTGACGAGCTCTCTCCGTCATCTTCTGATTGCTAAAAAACACCCTCTCCAGCAAATTGTTCCCGTTTACATCATAATGCACCTGGTAACCTTTTGCTTCCATCATCTTAACAAGTCCAGTACCCACATTCTGGGCAACAGTGGCAGAAACTCGAGCAAAGGCAGCCTTGATATTGTTGATATCGCTGTTGTATCCAACATAATCATGGATTCAAATAGAGCGCACAGACAATAAGACAAAGACATATTTAATAAGCGACCAGTATCAATTATACATTATTTCTCACACTATCATTAAATAAAGAATATACCGATAACAAGGTCACACACCTTAGTCAACATCACTAATCACTCAAACAAGAGCGTGGGTAATAACTTAACAATATATTATCTATGATATAAGAAAACAGACATCACATGATATACTCATATCATTATCCTAAATACACACGCAATGTCTATATAAACTCACATAGCAAATAGCAATAGAAGATCATCTCTCTTTTCATCAATAAACAAAGTCTCACCGTACTTCTTGTCTGCACTTTGTTTTTTCTTTCTTTTTCTAAAAACATAACACTGGCAACCGGATTGGACTTGGACCTCTGAAGTACCCAGGTTGGCAACCTTAACTGTGACCATGCCTTGTGAATCGAATTGGACTAGTCCAGCAGCAATAGAGCAGAGACGGGATGAGAACAGCTTGGGGCTGGTTTCTACATACATCAACTTGTTGATGAGGCCTTGGACCATGTGATAGCAGTGGGACATGGCTGGCAAGTGGACGTGTCCAGTTGCTTGTATGGCTGATGGAGCTTGTGTGGTAGGCCGGGTAATGGTATTACACATGTCAAACTTGATACTGTCTGCAGAGGTATCAATCACTGCTGACAGATGCTTCAAGTTGGGGTATCCCAAGATGATATTGTGAGCCAGTCGGTCCACCACTTGGAAGGTAAGTTCCAGAGGGCGCCCAAGGAGAGTGACTGGAAGGGAGACAGTTCTGTGAGAGCATGCCATAGCTCCAGCAGCAGTGTTGAATACAATGGACTGATCAGGATCGACCTCAGCGACTACGCCTTCCAACGCAGAGGCACGGATTGCAGTGATGGTGGATCCTGTGTCTACAAGCGCAGACAAAGCCTTGTTCTGTATGACATATGGTACTGAAGGCCCTGCTGACGTTGTGGGCTGAGAGGAGCCGGTAGTGGCCAACCAATCAGGTGTGATGGCGGTGGCCAGAGGGGGCTCTTCTTTGACTATGGCAGGTTGATAGGTAATGGCAGCAGAGTGAGAAACCCCAGGGCAGTCCTTGTTCCAATGGGCCCCTTTGCAGTAACCACAGATGGGTCTCCCGTCTGGTCCCCATAGACATGGGACTCCATCGTTAAGACTATGTTGCTTGGGCCGTTGAGGAGAGGCAATCGCGGCAGAACAATCCATGGGCTCAAATTGGCAATGGAAGTTGCGAGCGCGTGGGGGTGCCAAGTCACCAATGCGGTCCTCGAGCATTACGGCCTTCTCATAGACAGTTTCCCAGTCATCCAGGCTGTTCAGTGTGGGTTCAATCAATTGACGAAGGGGTGGCTTGATGTTTTTGAGGAAGATGTTCAGGATGGTGCGGTTGGATAGGCGGCCAGAATCCGGGATGTCATTTGCCAAGGTAGCAAATTTGACTTGAAACAGCCAGATGGATAGGTTTCCCTGGGTAGTGGCCTGGAGTGCCCGGCGTCATTGAGCCTTCTCGATGTCCAGGTCTAGACCATACATGCTGATTAGCAGGTCTTGGAGCTCCTCCCAGTTGTTACGACAACTGGAGACGCAGATCCACTCGACAATGTTGGGTGGTAGGTAATGGCAGAGAAACTTGCCCAGGAGGTCGGTGGGAACCCCAGCCAATGTTGCCTCAGTGCGGTATTGGTGCAACCACGAATTGATGTACATGGAGGGTTCGTAGGTGGGAACCGAGAGTGATTTGGCTGCAGAGGCCAAGTAAAGGGCGGCGAGCATGTCTGCAGAAGACATGCTTGGAGGCGTGATGCCTGAGAGAGGGGGTGCTGTGATGGTTGGGTGGTCCAGAGGAGAATCCTGGCCGTTAACCTGGCTGGCCCAACGAGAAGGGTTGTGAATGCTGTCAGTGGACATGGGGGTAGAAAAGACAAGAAAATATTTAGACGAGGGGGGTGGTAGAGCAGAGACAGAGGAAAAGTAACTTCTCCACCATGTAATGATCAGCAGTCTTTAAGATGTGATAATATCCGTTTTAGGAAACGGAGTAGAAGAAGTAAGAGGAAGAAGAGTTGAGCTTGTGAAAGATGATGTTTATTGACGAGAATATGAAGCTATTTTATATGAAAAGACTACGGATATTGATGCAGACAGAATGATGAAGAGAGAGAGTATTTTATGCACTCGTATGTATCTTCTTGCAGTAGTCCCTTACTACTGCAAGTAGTGCATCTGTGACTCTCAGTCACGACAACATTTCTGTCTATATTAGTACATTAGAAAAGAGATTGGTAAAACAAAATTGCACAAACTTCCCTAATATCCTTTCATATCAAGACCAATGGGAGAAGGTTAAAGCTATTATCCGCCGCCTTGCCAAGCAACATTCACATCAATCAACTACATGGCAGGTTCAGTAAGAGAAAGCTCTCCAAAGCAAATGTAACCATCTCATGCGCGAATATAATATAGACCATATACGTGATGATCAGCTCCCTGTCGTTGAGCACCAACTCCAAGCCGTACAACATGAGAATGTTGAGATTTTGGCACTTCGAGCAAGCAAACATTGGTGCAAGCAGGGAGAATTCTCTGCTGGATATCTCAAGTGAACAATCATGTCTCGTAATATCCACAAAGATATCCCTTTTCTACAGCACCACAGCACAGATAACATATGTGTGACTCCTGATTCCATGACTGCCACTGCAAACGCCTTCCATACACAGCTCTACACTGATGAACCCATAGACCACAGAGCTATTGATGAACTCCTGCCATATATTCCACCAGGACTGGTCCTATCAGAACTTACCCGGGAGTCAATGGCCACTCCATTTTCCATAGAGAATATCCGTGGGGCATCTAAACGATCACCACACCATAGCAGCCCAGGGCCTGACAGACTACTGTATGAAATTCTGTCTCTTGTATTTCTTGAAGAAGATTATTCCAGTCTCATAACTAACATTTATCAGGATGCGCTCAACCACGGAATTTTTCCTGACTCATGGAGCTCCACTTGCCTGTCTTTGTTGCCCAAGAAAGGCGATCTCTCTAGCTTGAAGAACTGGCGGCCTATTGCTTTGATTAACACGGATGCCAAGGTCTTCACTTATTTGCTCAATAGCTAGGTGAGAGACGCTTCGCATAACCCCATCAACCGCTTCCAAACTGGCTTTGTGAAAGAAAGATTTATTGCAGACAATAGTCTCATGGCGCGCATAATCATGGAGGAGGCTGGACACACTCAGTCAGATGCTATAGGAATCTTACTTGACCAAGAGAAGGCATATGACAGAGTCCACCCGGAATACCTTCGTCGTATCCTTCTTCACTTTCGGTTACAGCATCTATTGTACATTGTATTACACATATATTCTTCTCGACCAACATATCGGTCAATGTCAATGGCTTCCTATCTACTCCAATAGCCCAACGTCGAGGTCTGCGCCAGGGAGATCCGCTCTCACCCGTCCTATTCAATCTCGTATTCGAACCATTCCTTCGACGAGTAATAGGGGACTCCAACATCACAGGTCTTTTAGTTCCCACACATAATTTATCCGCAAATCCGCCCCCTCCGATCAAATGCCTAGCATACGCCGACGATGCTCTTATTTTCTTGAACTCGTTTTCTGAACTAGGCGCCCTTTATCAGCATCTGAACACATACTCTCGCGTCTCGAATGCAAGGAGAAATCTACACAAAACGCAAGCCTTTTTGTTGTCAGGATCTCCTTTACCACAGTGTAAATTCTATTTTGAGGGCCGGTCCATTACATCCTGGCACGATCGCACATCACCTACCGCACTGACGTATCTTGGCTTTCCTCGGACATCATCTATTGCCCAACGAGACATATTCTGTTGCCAGCTTATCCAAAAGATAGAACACCTCTGTCACATTCATTCTCAACACTCATTTTCTGTCAGGGGTCGAGTTACGGTGTTAAACTCTCTAATTCTATCCAAGATTTTGCATGTCCTTCGTGTAACTCCTGTTCTTGCTTCATTCTTTGACAAGTTACGCTCATGTATAGGACAATTCCTGCGTCGCGGCATGTTTCCTTTGATTAGTTTTTTCAAAATGTGTCGCCCACGTTTGACGGGTGGTCTAGGTATTCTTGAGCCACAACTGCAACAAAAAGCTCTCCAGATGCGATGGCTACAGCCCAGTTTAGACCAGCAGTCGACCCAATCTTTTGTAGCACAATGGATAAAAGCTACTTTGCGACAATGTACCCCAAGTGGAGACATTCGCCTGTCTATGATGTTTGCAAATTTACACCCTGCTAGATTGAAAAATGTACAAAGTGCGTTTAATACTCTCCTAACTACGACTGATGCCATTCCACGGAATTATTCCACCATAACTCCCACTCCAGCTACATGTCTGATCTTGCCCATACTCGATATCATACAGTTCTCTGATCAATCTATTTGTCTTACCAAGGGTTGGCGAAAATTGCGCGTTTCTTACGCTTTCATTTACGATGAGTCCCTTCAAGCTCTTCGTTCACGAGTCCCTTCAGAACGCCTTGGTTCCAGATACATTGTCGCCAAACTCCTCCGTAACCTTCAGAACGCACGGGTCAATCTCTTGCCATTCTTCTGGCGTAAACACTACCACCCCTCGAACATCCTGAATTTACTCGCACTCTCCACCCAGAGCTCGTAATCGCATATCCATTTGTTGCAGCACTGCCCACTGGTTGCCGGTATCTCAAAGACTTCCACACCATTCACTTTCGCAAAATTTGGCAAATCAATCCGCCCTTGTCTAACCACGTCTCTACTCTTGCACCGACTCAATGGGAAAAAAAATTGGGATTTTTCCATACACTACTCTGTACGAAACATTTGGTACCGCGCACTACATCAATCCTTGTCCTGTAGCTCACACCTCCATCGCATCGCTCCCACAACCTTCCCGTCTCCGATGTGCGCCTTTTGCAGCAATGGCATTGATAACATAGAGCACTCTCTGTATCTGTGTCCTCTTAAGTGGCCGGTTTGGTTCAATGCCTGGCTGACTTACTTTGGATATCAACCTGAACCATTTGATGTTCATCGCGCGCTGTTTCACTTGGATCTTCCTAATTCAGCCAATTTTGAACACTATCTTGACCCGAGCCAGGCCATTAGCTGCATCATCTTATCTCTGTGGAGAGCTCATTGGCAAGTGATTTTTGACTCTGCGCCTTTTAACACACAACATGTACAATCATCTGTAGGGAAAATTTCTACGTCTTTTGCTCAGGAACTAGATCTCTCATAGATTACTTTTAGTTTTCTCTTCTCTACTTCACATTTCCAAAAAAAAAACTGAAAACTAAAAACTAAGAACCAAAAAAAAATTGGGTTCCTTTCACTAACACTCAATAAAATCCAAGGACTCGTTCCTCTCTACAAACAAACAAAAAATACAGTAATCAATAACAGGTAGGAGGTGAAAAAGTGGGGAAGTCAATTTCACCCTCTTGGGCACCTCCCCCCGCCACCTGGGCGGCTTCCCAGGGAGTCCCCGGGGGCACCTATTTATTTCCCGTAGGGTAATGTATAGCATTATCTACCCAATATACTTTAAGAGTTGATACGTTATTCAGTGCTTGTTTTTTTTATAAAAGAAACTACATTTTATACTTTATACAATGAAAGTAAAATATGGCTCCAAATGGGCTAGATATTGATAAGAAAAATTATATGCATTGAAATTTTTGGTCTGCTTTGGTATTTAGTTGGGGGGATTTTTTCAGTAATCTTTGACGATCTGTAATATTTGGTGTAGGCTGAATTTGGTTTTTTCTTAAAAAAAAAAGAGAGAATGAAATGATGGAATGTTGTGGTGTGTATGCATTTGTATTTTTACATATAGACATGTATATATATATATATACATATATATTTGACGATGTGTATTGTGTATAGAGGTTCAAAAGAACTATTAGGTAGAATGTAAGTAATGTATGTAGGAGTATATATATATATATATATATATAAAGAAAAACACATACATACACACATATATATATAGATAGATAGATAAATAATATATGTGTATGTGTAGTAGTTGTAGTTGTAGTTATGGTTATGTTTGATGATGTCTAATGATGTGAACCAGGTTCAATGCGCTATAAAGTTTTACCACCATTGGAAGCTTTCTGAATATGAGGTAGTGCTAGGTGAGTTCAGTATAGCATTAAAGTTGTTTTGGCGGTGTTCCCAATCAATGCAATCTCGTAAACTATCGGAAATACTATTAGAAGTGCTATCAGAGGGTTTTACAAGGGTGGCAGTGATTCTTATCGGGCGCGTGGTAGTGCATTGGCTGACAAGGAGGCGAGACAGCAGGGAGGGACAACTGGGCCTATCGGAACGCACAATTTGCTTTTTGAATTCGCGTTGATAAGCGGATTCGCAGTCATCTGAGACTGTAACACATTCATCATCGTCCTGCCAAACGTCCTCGTTGTCTTCATCAATATCAGCATCACTTTTTTCTGCTTCAAAGGAATCTTCATCTTCAGAGTCTTCGTTTGAGAGAATAAAAAATTTGCTGTTACGCTGGGTGGGTCGTGAAGGTAGTGAGGTAGGTTTGATGATTGGTGCAGAAGAAATACAGTTGGTGGGTGGTGTAAGGGACAATGGAAGAAAGGTTGTTGGAGGTTGTGGCTGTGTTTGATGAGTGGGCGATCCAAGGTAGGTCAGCATACGTTTAAAGGAAGTTGGTGAAACATGTTTTAAAGGTTTTGGGTCTATTGGTATTGAGGGTCCAACTGTGGAAGCTGGGCTAGGTAAAGCAAACTCTTGTTCGTCTATTGGTGTAGTCGGTTCGTTTACTGAGCATGGTCTATCATTGGCAACGACTGATTCTCTGTACCAAAGGCGCCAACTAAGGTTTTCTAGACGACGGCCATTTTCAAGATTTTCTTTACATTTTGAAAATACTGTTGATTGATGAGAATACGTTTTTTCTTTTTAAAAAAATAGACAGGAATTGTATACCTGTCCACATGCATGAAAGACTATCGGTTGTGATGGAATCCAGTTTATGAATATTGGGCATGGCTAACGAAAGCATCGGTAGCTCTAGTGTTCGGACCATATCGTAAAAGAAGTGTAAAGAGAGAAAGAAAATAAATAAATAAAATTCAAGCTGCCCCATGAATTAAGTAGGAATTTTTATTTTATTTTATTTTAAAACAAAAAATACAATTTAATTGGCCTATTTTAAGATTTTTTTTTGTTAAAAAAAATAATAAAAAATATGGGAATTTGTATAAAGCAGGATGAAACTTTAAAGCAATTATATATTTATTTGATGAACATTTCAAAAACAAAACAAAAAAACGTAAATAATATAAATGAGATCATCACCATGACACTCACAATACATTGTCCTCCAACTACAGAAATATCTTTATCATTTTGATAGGCAACCAATTACTACGCAATTTTCAAGAGACATTTTTTTAAGTATTTATTTATCTTATGTAATAAAAATAAAAGTACGACAACGCTGCCAAGATCGTCCATATCATTTGAAACAATATTTGAGATTTTCATTTTACAGTAGACCATACAGAACAACAAGGCCTATTCATCCTAATCCAATAAAATACGTTACTATTGTACTTGAAACATTGAGCTATATAATTGTAAGTATTATATCATTTTAAAGAAAAATGATTATGTTTATGATTATGCTAATCATGATTATGCTAATCATGATTATGCTAATCATGATTATGCTGCTGCTGATGCCAATGATTCTGATGACTGTAATTCAATTGAGTGTATTTACTTTTGATAGACACACAAAAGAAAAAGCAGCTCAATATTTTCTTTCTATCAAGTTTATAAAACCAATTTACACAAATTCCATAGACATTTAGTTTAAAAGAATAGTATCGCCTCTCAATACCAAGGCTATGTATCTAGTATGATTGGCTTTGATTATACTTTCGATATACTTGAAAAGAATAAATATTCAATGGTTCTTTCATATGGGCTTGTGAAACTTTAAAGGAAGGAAAAACCAAAACCAAACCCAAAACCAAGAAAATAATCAAGAAATTGAAACATGCACTTGCAAGATTTAATGGTATATTTAATTATTTGACAAGGTGACACTCGCCTTTTCTATCTTCCTCCCTTTCTCCCTTTCTCCCTCATATCCCGCATACTGCGGATATTGCTAATCTTTGCATCAAATGCGCATAGGAATGTTTTATAGCTAAATTATGTACAATGCACAGACATTAAAGATAAGTTTATATACTAGGCAAAATATAGAAAAACCGAATATACAAGCATAAAAAAATTGATATTGTGCTTGAGGTCGTTCAATTTATGGTTACTCAGAAATTAACGATACCGATAACGATAATAGCAGAATAGCAAAATATTGTGAACAGTTGAGTTTTATAATTGAAACAGATGTAGAGTCATTTTTATTTTATTTTTAATGCAAAGAGAAGAAATGTAAAAGATGTGGATAAAGAAAATGGAAAGTTGAACATTAAAAGAAAAAGAACAAAAGAACAGATATAATGTATTGACTTATTCCCACTCGATAGTAGCTGGGGGCTTGGAGCTGATATCGTACACCACACGGTTTACACCCTTAACTTCATTGATGATACGGGAACTAATACGCTTGAGGCAGACAAACCATTCTGCGCTGGCAAAGATATCAGCAGTCATGAAATCCTTGGTCTCAACAGCTCTGAGAGCAATGACCTGCTCGTAAGTACGCTTGTCACCCATGACACCGACGGCCTTGATGGGCAAAAGAGCGGCATATGCCTGAGCAATCTGGCGGTAGTAGCCATTCTTCTTGATCTCTTCAATGTAAATGTTGTCGGCAAGACGGGCAATCTCGACCTGCTCCTTGGTAACCTCACCCAAGACACGGATAGCAATACCTGGTCCAGGGAAGGGGTGACGCCAGACAAGTTCATCATCAAGACCAAGAATCTTGCCAAGAGCACGGACCTCATCCTTGAACAACTCGCGAAGGGGCTCAATGAGCTTGAGCTTCATATCCTCGAGAAGACCACCGACATTGTGGTGGGTCTTGATGGTAGCGGAGGGTCCCTTGAAGGAGATGGACTCAATAACATCAGGGTAGAGAGTTCCCTGGAGAAGGTACTCAATCTCACCACCACACTCCTTGTCAATGATGGCAGCCTCGGCCTCGAAAACCTCAATGAAGGTGTTGCCGATGATTTTACGCTTGGTCTCGGGATCAGTGACGCCCTTGAGACGACCCAAGAACAGATCGGCGGCATCGCTAACCTTAATGTTGATACCCATCTTGTCACCCAACATCTTCTTGACATTGGCGCACTCGTTAAGACGCATCACACCGTTGTCGACCAAGATGGCGTGGAAACGGTCACCAATGGCTTCGTGCATAAGTTTGGCAGCGACGGTAGAGTCAACACCACCAGAGACAGCACCAACAACACGACCGTGAGGGCCAACAATCTTTCTGATACGGGCAATTTCCTTATCAACAAAAGCATCCTGTGTAGATTTTTTTTAAAATAAAAAAAAGTCAGTAAATATGAAGTATATAAAAAATACTAATTTCTGGAATTTTTTTCAAATATACCCCCCCCCCCCCCCACTGTCCTCCTCTAACTCCTTAACTCTAATCATTGTGTAGCACGTAGGAACAAAAAAAATCTATGTAGTACACACATACCATAGTCCATGAGGCATCGGCGTGGCAAATGTTAACAACAAAGTTCTTCAAGACAGCCTGGCCATCGTCGGTGTGAGTAACTTCGGGGTGGAACTGGATACCTATAAAAATGAGATATTAGGAACAATCATTGCGTCTACATGCAGAAGATTACGCGTACCGAAGAAAGGCTTTGACTCGTGAGCAACTGCGGCAAAGGGAGCGGTGTTGGTCTTGGAAATAACCAAGAAGCCAGGAGCAGCTTGTGTGACCTGATCGCCGTGACTCATCCAG